CACCGACTCCCCCGGGGCGCGCGCTAAACAATTTCTAAATTTGAAAAACAGCATGAAAGTGGACACTTTTGACGAGTTAATTAACACCCTCAAAAATCTTCAAGGCCATATTTTAAATATAATAGTTTCCCCGCCGAGTTTCTCATATCATCCTCAACCTTCAAAAGTTCCTTGTAAACAATCTCATCGAGCCAATATGACTGTTGAACTGGGGTCGACCTTAACAGAGGCGGCTTTATGGGGAGGCTAGTAAAGATAGGGTTTTAGGCCTCATATTATTTAGAGTCTCATTTTTTAGGATATTATTTACTATAATTATATTTTGGAGTTGTTTTATAATAATAATCATTGAAAAATAATGAAAAAACGATGCTACCATAAACATTTTGACAAGAAAAGTATATAGTATTTCAGTTATTTGATAAAATTATTTGTACCGAAATTATTAAAGTATTCTAATAAAACTGTTATTATCCAAATTTGACTATTGGAGGGTCATAAATTTAAATTTTGCTTGAGGCCCTCAACACGCATTGAGTCTGGGCCTTTAGGAGCACATATTTGGCCAGTGAAACGAGGGATTCTGCTTCTAGTGGATGTTGTCTCGTTTGGACATTTGGGTAGTGTTTGGTAACATGGATAGAAAACTTTTTACGTAATACTTTATCCCAAAAAAAGGAAAAAGAAAAAAAGAAAAAAAAAAGGAAGCTTAATGTGCCTACTTACTCCAACTACTTGGCCTAACCATGTTTCTCTCTCTCTCTCTCTCTCTCTCTCTCTCTTTTATTTTTCGTTCCTGTTTTGGGCCGAATTAGTGGCTAATTAGACTTAACATGATGACATGCATTCATATTGGCATATAGAGTAGTAGGTAGCTATGGTTAGGTTTGGTATTGATTGTTCGAAATCTGTGTGAAATCAGCAAGTTGTGTTCATGTTGATTGTTGAACCCTGCAAATGTGCAAATTATTAAAATTTGTCTGTGGTTGTTGTTCATCTTAAAACTTTAGCCCTCCTAATATGAACCAATCTCCAAAAGGTCTCAACCAAGCGAGAATGACATCACATGTTTGGTTGACAATTGCGTGAAAATGAGAAATATGAATGGGTTTCTAAATGACTCCCAACATTTTTTGACAATTGAGGCCTAATTTAGTGGTCCTTGCAAAAAGATACCAACCGAAAAAAGGATAAACATGTGTACAATGTTACGTCGACTCTCAATCGGTTTGGACATTTTGGCATCTGGTGACATGAAAAGGAAAAATGAAGCTTATAATAAATATGCTTAATGTGGCTACTTACTCCAACAATTTAGCGTAACACGTAATACCCATGTTTTTATTCTTTTTTCATTTTTGTTTTGGGCCTCACATTTCATGTGGAATTGGTCGCTATTGTGGGTTAGAGTTAATCATGACCATGACATGCAATCATATTGATTCAGCCATATTGTCCATACTCGTTCTCAACATAGTCACAATTTTGGAAAATTTGTATTGATTGTTCGTGTTGACTCTTGATCATTGCAAACGCGCAAATCTGCAAATTTTCAAGTTGAAGTAACGTTTGGTGATTGCATCAACTTCTGAATGAAGATTGAAGACATTGTTGGCCTGGGGGAACTCATCTTTTATAATGATTGTTATCTATATAGAGCTCCTCCCCGTTATAATTTTGTGGATTTTTCCTTAATAGACTCCAGTTCCTTAATCCCGGCCCAAGTTAAACCAAAATGAGGCTCTTTTCATGACAATCCAACAAATGTACTCCCTAAATCAAAGGGAAGGTACACATAGATTCAGGTCATAAATCCAAAATTCATTATCAATATCAAAACATAAGCGATTTTTCTAAAAATATGGAAAAAAAAAAAAAGAAAAGAAAAAGGACCAGTTTGCTGTTAAGCAAATGCTAAAATGCTACAAAGCTGATGTCTCGCTTAAAAGATTACATATTTCATTCTCAAGAACCGCTGCTTGCCCATCCTTAACGGTACTGCAAAGATCAACAAATTTAAGTCAGATACTACTTCCAGCAAAAATGTCATCTAAACAACAAACTATGTTGAACAAAAGATCAATACGGCCGTACAAATCATAACGCGCAAAAATGTCATCTAAACAAACAAACTAGGTTGAACAAAAGATCAATAAGGCCGTAAAAAGGATAACACGCATCATATTGAGATCCCTACGTTGGCAAGTAGTAGTACATTATTAATCATTAAGAGACGCGTCAATTACTTCATTTATCTCTAGCTTCCTTAGGTTTCTTTAGCAAATATGGACAAAAGAACCTACCCATGAATACATTTGGCTACTCTATGCAAAGAGAATCCACCCAATATGCACATTTAACTAATATTTATCAAGAAATGAAGCACAACAGAATCACACAAGAAATTTCACACTCCATAACAGGAAGTGTAACACACCAAGGACGGGAACCTTTTGTGAACCATTTTCCACAAGCAATGCAGATGTCTCAACAACCGTGTACACTCTACATTGACAAAGTGAAATGCTTAAATCTGTCCTGTCTTAGTAAATTCTCGCTAGTGAAGGTTCGCTACCATGTAAAGACTTTTGAACTACCAAATTTTCTCAGTGAAGCCACAAGTAGCACACTCGCAGATATCAATGTGAATATGTATGTAGCGTATGAACAATTGAACGGGCGGAAATTACTGTAATCCACACAATATAACAAGACGGATAGTAGCTAAAATTGCTCATCAGAAATATAAATAGTCCAACAAAAGCTACTAACTAGTACTTTAAATACTCAACAGATACATTAATTTCTCAACAATCAAAAATCAAAACAAGCACACTACAATTGAAAAAATAGTAGCTGAACATGCTCAATCAAAAATCAGATTGTTACCACTCAACAATTCAATGATCCAGACAACCCAACGTGTTATAACAAGGCAAAGCAGCAGAAAATGCTCAAGAATCAGAACTTTTCAACTAAATAATTCATCGAATCTTTCCAATGCTGAATTGAAAATAACCAACCTTGATGAAGCCAATTTCCTTAGCGTTGCTGCGGAAGCACTGTCTGCAACACATCAATCCGTACTTCCTGATTATCCCGTGAGAGTTCCCGCAAACACGGCTGCTCCGAATTCGAAAAAACACGAGACAGAAAAGGAAAAAGTTCATCATCATACTCGGACTAATTAATTAAACACAATAAGGAATCAGGGAGGAAGAATAAGAAATTGAACAGACCAGGCGCGAGAACCAGGACCATAGTTCTTGGGTTGGGCGTTCCAGATGTTAGAGTGACCCATCTTTTCTTGTCTGGTAGCCGCCGCGCCGCCGCAAAATCTCCGGCAAAATGAAAGAGATAAAACACACGAGAATGGGAGGAGGGGGAGGAGGACGACGACGACTGATGTGTAACCCTAAATTGCAATTTAAATCGACACGTGTGGAAGGGAGTAGTAAAATTGTAGTAAAATACGTACTATTGATTCTATGGGTAACTATTTTTTTTAACCGAGTAACAATGCCAGCTTCAAAATTACTACTAGTTGAATGTGGATACCGTGTCACATGAAGAGAAAAGAAAAGAAAAAATCCCAATTCCCATAATGTTACTAACTAATAATGTTTAAAGTATAATTATGAGTAAGGAATAATTAGTTGTGTTGTTTTCTGATAATTTGTAGTATGACATAGTAATTGCAAAATGCTCACTGAAAAAACAAATACAAGACGGTAATAACTATTAATTTTTTTCATCGATTTTTTTTTTCGCCGACACTAAAATGTTTTATTGACATGTTAAAAAAAAAGAAGAAGAAAGAAATGCAAATGTACCATTGATCTGCCAGATTAGAGGATGCCACTCTTTTTTTATTATCTTTTCAATAATATTTAACACGAACATGTGATTGAATTTTTAATGTGTGCGTATCTGGAGTTTCCATTAGAAATTTAAAAATGTATAGTGAAAATGTAAGAAAATATACTAAGTTGAAATATTTATATTAATAAAAATTATGAAGAATCATTAAAAAAATCAACCAAATAGAAGAATTTTCTTTTTTTTTGGGGGGGGGGAATACACATAAAGAGTATATTGTCGAATAAAACAAGTGAAACTCCTTAATTAAATTATATACACTTATGTTACTTTTCGTCTTTTGGAATTAATTCCTCAAAATTTCATCTCTTTTTTTGGGTTCCAAACTTCCAATCATGAATAAAATAAATTTTACTAACAACCAATTAATTTGTTGTTTTTCTTTCTATTTTTTTTATTTATTTAATTTTTTTTTAACTCAACTTACAAATAATCATATGATGATATATAGTCAATTGGCGCTTGATCGTTTATAGTAATTTAATATGTTTTTTCTTCTGAAAAAGAAATTCCACCTTATGGGAAAAAAGATACTAATTTCCCGATTCTTAACTTTTAAAATACGTATTAAATGAAATCTAAGACAAATTAAAATACCTTATATTAAAGACGGGATGGACTACTTACTCTCTAATTGTTACTGTTATACACAATTTGAAGAATGTCTAATGAGTCGTCTCAACCTAAGCCAAGCAAACGTGTAAGATGTCACGTGTCATTGTCAAATCAAACTCCCCCTCGATCCTGACACAATGTATATAGAAGAGAGATCTCCTCCAAAATCCAGAACAATTTGACAGTTGGGTTTTTGGGAGTACAAAAAATTAATTCAATTTTTATGACGTAACTTTTAAAAAAAACCGGAGAGGAGTCTTCTTCCTATTCCTTTCCAAAGACGGAAAACAAAACTAAAATTATAATAAAAATCACACCAAAAAATTTTCAGTTATGCTTTGCTTCTTGTTGGTGTTTAACTTTAATTCCATTTTCTTTTTCTTACAATCGAAGCTGTCTATCCAGACCCTTCGTGACCTATCAAATTCCTTAACTTCCGGGGTCTAAAGAAGATCGATTATTTTTTTCACGAGGTTTGTTGTGTTTTTTACTTTTTTTTTTTTTTTGTAAATTTTTAGTGTTCTCCCCAGAATGTTGACCCTTAGATGTCCCACGGAATATGGGCGTTTAGGGTTTTGATTTGTCACTCGTTTGATCATGAAAAGGTGGAGTTTTTTTAGACGTTAGCTTTCCTTTTCCTCATTCCGAATGTGCTGTTTGGGGGTTATTGGTGGTTGGAATTAGTGGGGTAGTGGTAATTTTTTCCCTAATAAATTACCGGTGTAATTAATTGGGTCGTGATATTGTTCTAACAATCGAAACGGTGTTTTTTTTTTGCGATTTTTCTGCTGTGTTTGGGATAATAAAGATGATGACTTTTTTTCTTCCGAGGTGCGGTTTAGGTTTTGATTTAAGGAAATTAAACTTGTGGGTTTTGCTTGGAAGATACACATATTGTTTTCGTGAAAAGCTGAACACTTTTGATGTCTCCACTTTGCTTTGTTGCTACTAGTGAAAATCTTTGGTTATGTTGGTATTGGGGTTGTCTCCAGTTTTGTTTTTTTTGGCTCTACACAATTGTGGTTTGCATGAAATGTGCTGTGTTTTCTGTTTAATATTTGTTTGTTCTTTTTGGGTTAGAATTTTGGGCATTCCCACTGGGTTTTGTTTGGAATGGAAGCTTCAACTTTGATTCGTGAAAACATAAGCATTAAAACATGTACTACTTGCTTTATTTACCACTGATGTTATGTATGCAAACGGTTTTTGTTCTCAAGTTGTTTATGTGTGCGAATTCATCTGCATCTAAGTAACTGGTATTTTGTAGGTATTTAGTGTTTTTCACTGTGTCTGTTCTGAATACTTCAGGGAAAGGAAACTATTCATGGCAACTGCAACTATGGCCACTGCAGCTGGTGCAGCTGCTCTGTTGTACTATACATTGAATAAAAAACTACAGATCTCTAAAGAAGACGATGAAGAATCTGATAGTAGTAGTGTGGTAAGTCAAACCCGTTTGGGGATCGATAGAGTTTCAAATCGTCTCATACAAGCCCCCGCAACATGGTTGGAGACAATTTCGACGTTAGCAGAGACAATGAGGTTTACATATTCTGAGACTCTAGGCAAGTGGCCTATTGGCGATTTGGCTTTTGGCATCAGCTTTCTCTTAAAGAGGCAGGTAAGACAATATCTTTTGTCATATCTATGTTTCCATTTTGAGCCTTAAAGAGGTTCCATGCTGTTTGTATTTGCATATTGTAACCTAGCTATCCAGCTATTGCCACAAGCTGTTTGCGTTTTCATTTGTGAAATGTTTCTCCGCAACCAGTTTTACGGTCTTGTGTTATATTTGCAGGGAAATCTCCATGTCGGAAGTGTATTTGGCGGGAAAGATAGTTTTGAGTTGAAAGGGCCCGACATTGCTGCTGAGCTCAGACATCTTTTGAATTTGTTGATACTTTGTTGGCATTTCTCAAAGAAACCATTTCCAGTATTTCTGGAGGAGACGGGGTACTCACAAGATAATGTTCTTCTTCAAGAGCCAAAAGCTGGAGTAAGTTACTTGTGCCTCCCTGTTCTATTTTGATTCCATTTTATGCAAACTCTGGATACTCTAGATACACCTTTTTGGCACAATTTTGAACAGGATTTTCAGATCTGTTTGTTTTTCTTTTCTTTTTTTTCCTTTTTCTTTCTTTTTTTTTTTTTTGGCTTTTAGATGGAGAATGTAAAGGAAAATTTTGTTCTGCTTCTGAATAAATGCATTTTCTTTTTCCTTCCAGATACTGAAGCCAGCTTTCACTATCCTTGTGGACCAAACTTCAAAAACATTCCTCTTGTTGATTCGTGGAACGCATAGTGTTAAAGATACCTTGACTGCTGCAACCGGAGCGGTGGTACCTTTCCATCATTCGGTGATGCATGAAGGAGGAGTCAGCAACTTGGTTTTGGGTTATGCCCATTGTGGGATGGTGGCAGCTGCTCGGTGGATTGCTAAACTAGCTACTCCTGTTTTACTTAAGGCACTTGAAAATTATCCAGATTACGAACTTAAGGTACTACATATTATTTTTTGATATATTTATTGTTTTGCTTGAGCAACCCCTGCCTAAAACAAGTTTCCTTATATACATCAATATTTTTTATGTAACCAAAGTTCAGTTTTTTAACATATGTATTTCTGGTTTTCCTTTCTCATGGCTTTTAAGTATTGGTCTCGCATGGTTGCTTCTTTGATTAAATCTTCCAATGACCTTTACATAGAATATTTTGGTGCGCTTGCAAATATGTTCCCATGTTACGTTGCTCTTCAGCTTTTGATTTAATGATTATGAGACCCACTTTATACATCAAGATTTGTCTAGCTTGAATGTTAGGGGCAGCCACTGAAGCTTATACATGCTCTTTTCTAGCCTATAGATGAGGCATAGTTCCTTTTGCATGGTTAGGGTTATTAATAATTTCAAGTTATTTTCATCTTTTACAGATTGTTGGACATTCTTTGGGTGGTGGTACTGCCGCACTCTTAACATTTGTACTGCGTGAACAGAAGGAACTGTCAAAAGCTACCTGTGTCGCATTTGCTCCAGGTTTGATTATCTTGATAATCTATATATGTTGGGACTTTGCACACATTTCTCTTACTGGCAATTCCTTGGAATGTGTAAATATTTGTTAAAGGCGATAAAGGGATCTAACTGAGTACTTGATGCAGCGGCTTGCATGACATGGGAATTGGCTGAATCTGGCAATGACTTCATTACGTCTGTAATAAATGGAGCTGACCTGGTGCCGACGTTCTCTGCTGCCTCTGTGGATGACCTGCGTGCTGAGGTAATCATATATTGTGTTGCATCATTTGTAATCATGATGATCGGATAATAGGTTTTTACTTTTTGGGGATTGTATTTCAGTTCGCATGTTTACATATCTGCTTCTGTTATAATCCATTTTATGTTACTGACTAATTTTGAGGGTTCTCTTGATTGCAGGTAACAGCATCAGCTTGGTTGAATGATCTTCGAAGTCAGATTGAACGCACTAGAATCCTCAGTACTGTTTATCGTTCTGCATCGGCCCTGGGTTCTCGTCTTCCATCTATGGCAAGTGCCAAAGCGAAAGTCGCTGGTGCTGGTGCAATACTACGCCCAGTGTCTAATGGAACACAGGTTAATATTATTGTTATTAGCAACTTGATTCTTCAACTGTTTGGCTGCTTGGACCCGCTATTCTTAGCCCTTCTTTAATAGTATTTTGACTGGAGCCTCCTGTCCCTTGATTGCATGGTTGGGTTCAAAGTAACAAGAATTTGACTATAATTTGCTTCTTTTGTGTGAATTTGTGGCTTACGCCATGTTTAACAATGATCTTTCGAATAAATGGTTCGAAGATGATGATCCCCAAATCATTGATCTGTGTGGCCATGACTATTTTTCACGGATCATCTTATATATGCAATTTTGTTGAGGTGTTTGAAACTTGCTGATATCTTGGTCTTGTAGGTGGTGATGAAGAGAGCCCATAGCATGGCTCAGGCTGCACTATCACGACCTGCGATGCATTTGTCTTCATGGTCATGCATGGGTCCTCGTCGACGTGCAACAAATAGTCAAATGAAGATCGATGAAGGGAGAGACTCATTGGAATCCTCTGCACTGCGTGGAGAAACTTCTGATGAAACCACTAGTATTGTCGAAAGCTCTGAACTCCCTGTATCTACATCTGAGCGGACAATGTGGAGTTCAGAAATTTGCACCGATGACATGACATCTGATGTTCATACTTTCGTTGATGATGGGGAGGATGTACTGGATCATGACAGACATCAAGATCGTATGACGGAGGTTGAGTTGTGGCAGCAACTTGAGCAAGAGCTTTATGATCATGATGAGAGTGAGGAGTCTGAAGTTGTGAAGGAATTTAGGGAAGAAGAAGCAGCAGCTATTGCCGAGGCGAGTGACACAGAGTCTGAAAGTTCAGTTCCAAATACGACGGAGGTGCACAGATTTTTCCCTCCTGGAAAAATAATGCATATTGTGACTCTCCTTTCTGATGTGGAGCACGAAGGTGACAGCAGTACTTCTAGTAGTAGTGGCTCAGACGATAATGAACCGGCAGAGCCTAAAGTTGGAATTTTTCTCACGTCCAGGACGTTGTATAGTAAGGTACGATTGTCCCACACCATGATCGCAGATCATTTCATGCCAGTTTATAGAAGACAAATGGAGAGGTTAATAAAGGAACTCGAGGAAGAAGGCTCTGATAACCAACATCATAACAGAGAAGCAGGAGAGACTTCATAGTGTAAGAGTGTACTTTTAGTTTATTCTTAGGAAAATTGATGCAGGCATTATTTTGACCCAAGACTGCTGCTTTCCAAATTTTTTCTCATTGGGAATTTTTGGAATTCCTTGTGGTATTTGCATGATTTTTGCAAGACACAGAGGCAAAGTATAAGTTGCGAATGTAAAAATCCACCTGGCGCTGGATCACTCTCCCTGCAAAATGGTTCTTGAGTAAAGTGATCTAAGCCCGAATTTTTGAGGGTCCATCCCCTTGTATATATTTTAACTTAAAATTTGATTCATTTTCATCTTTCATTCGGAAAATGTGTTGGTTACATTATCAGCAGCACGCATATAAGATGATTCGATCCGGAATGTGCGAGAAAAAGCTCATGCCACTAGAAAGGTACGCAAGTAAGCACATAGTTTCTGGTAAAGTTAAAAAGTTTGTGCAGGTGTCTTCCGGTCAAGTACCTTTTGTTGGTCTGATTGAATTGATGCATCAAAGAGGCAGACACAAACACTTCATAAAACGTTTTCTCTGTTGGCTTTTGACATTGTCAATGGGATGGCTTGATTTTGGAACCTTTTGGTTCGTAGTTTTTAAGGTTTTCAAATGTTTTCTTCAGACGGGAGAAGGGATTTCTCTTCCAATTGCAGTTGCCGATTGGTACCGCGTAAAGAAGGGTCCTTTTCCTCTTCCTGAATTAGAGATTTTTGCCGCGGACGCGTAGGAGCAGGCGAGTAGAAATAGTAGTGTCCCACGACTATGAATCTATGATATCCTTACGGGCTGAAAGAGAGATATTGGACCAGCTTATAAGTTAGTTACAGATGAGTGAAAATAGAAATAAAATGCCAGCTTACAGCCTTACACTAGTTTCATAAACTCCACTTCGACTAGTTTTCAACTTTTCGCATATTAACAAACACAAATAGATAGATTAAAACGCAAAGGAAAATGATTGGATGAATGCTGGGCCCCGCGGCTACTCCCCCAGTCAACTAAAACTAACATTAGAATCTTCAATTGTCCGGGAGCCGTGTCTGGCCATCGAGCCTCCGAGTAGAAACAAAGAATGATTGTGGTTGTGGAAAACTTTAGTCCCTTACTGCTGTTGAGCTCATCATCCATGGAGGGCGTGTTTTTTATCTGTCCAAGCAAAAACCAAGTACAGTAGGCTTCTGGAAGGTGAGTGTATTAATAATTGTACGAGTTGAATGGAATATTGATTATACATTATTTCTAGCTTCTGTGCCTGTCTCCAAGCAACCCCTTTTAGGCTTTTGACATTTCTGTTTGGTTTCCTCGTCAATTTCAACATGATTTGTCCTTTTTGATCTTTCTTCTTTCTGTGAAAATTTTCTCAGTTCAGCGCTCCTTCTTTGATCTTGCTCTTGTGCTTGTCCAAGCAATCCCTTTGAAGGTTTTGATATCCTTCTGTTGCTCTTTCTTCTTCCTTGTTGAAGTTTTTTCTTGGTTAGATGTTTACAATTTCGTTGACTCAGCGATTCATCTTCAAGAAAGACATTTTCTTTCTGGGTTCTGTGCTTGTCCAAGCTACCCCTTTTGAGCTTTTTTGACATTTTTGTTATGTTAAACAATTTTTTGTCCCATTAGTCCCCTCTGCTTTCTCTGTTGTTGGGGAAATTTTGGTTCTTGGTTTGGTTGTTGTATGCAGTACAGTTTTCTGGGGCACTAGTTTATGTTCAAGAAAGCATCTTTATTGTATAACTTCGTGATGGGATCATCACAATCACGCGAGTCAGCAGTTGCTCTAATCAACCAATGGAATTCAGAACCAAGGGAACTGTTGATCTTCGATAAAGGCCGCGATGAAGCTAGTCAATACTTGCAAGCTGTTGTTAAAATTCAGCAGACAGCAAGTGCGGAAGAACTCCAACAAATCATTCCTATGGCCATAAATCGGCTCAAGCTTGAGTTTCAGAGAGTTTTAAACAGGCAAGGTGAATCATATTTGACGGTTTCCAACACCATTACTGAGTTGAGCACCACAACCATAACAGACATCAGCTATTACCAATCCCGGTATGAAGATTTTGTGATGTATGAAGCCCCAACAACTGAAGTGGTTGATTATCTGAGGAAAATTGCTGAGATAATGAATGCCTGTGGACATCTTGAGGCCTGCATTGATGTGTACATTTCAGTAAGGAAACCTTTTGTGCGGATCATATTCGACAGATTGAGGCTTGATGAATTGAAGGCCGGTGACACCAAGAAGTTCTTGAGTGAGGAGTTGAAGGTGAGGATTGAGCGTTGGATTGGGGCCACGAAAGCTTGTGTTCCAAAGCTTTTCCTGAAAGAGAAACTATTTGCAGAACAGATTTTTTCTGGGCTTGGAAGAACTTCTACTCACGTGGAATGTTTCTTGAATGTGGTGAAAGATGTTGCAGTTAGTCTTTTCAGTTTTGCTGAATCCGTGAGCTTGAGTCGTCAATCTTCAGAGAGGCTGAATGTTGTTTTAATCCTCTACGACGCAATGCTCTCACTTATGCCGGATGTTAATTCCCTTTTCCCATTGGATCAAACAGGCAAAGGTATTGGAAATAGCTTTGCAGCAACTTGTTCCAAACTTGGGGATGAAATTGGAAGAATGCTGTCGGATTTTGAGGATGTTGTGCTCAATGAGATTTCCACCATCTCGAACAATGATGGAGGCCGAGTCCATCAATTGACCAAAAATGTGGTCGGCTACATTAATGTCATTACAAATTACAAGACTGTTTTGATGAAGTTGCTGCAATCGAGGCCTTCTAAGATTGTTCAAGACAAGAAACTTCCAGATGATTTGCTCCGTGACCCCAAGAGTTTAACTCCTTTAAGTCTGCATTTGGTTTTGATCATAGCTGTTTTACAACTCAATCTGGATAACAAGTCCAAATACTACAAGGAAGCCTCTTTAGGTCACCTGTTCATGATGAACAATGTTAACTACATTGTTCTCAAAAGTAAAGAATCTCAGGTTTTGCAGGATTTAATCGGCGTTGATTACCTGAACAAGTTGAATGGTTATGTAAAGGGGGCAATGATTAGCTACCAGGATCTAACTTGTGGCATCTTGTTGAAGTGCTTGGAGGAAGAGGGAATCTATGTAACCCAATGCTGTACTTCTAGAGTATCCACTGGTACTTTGAGGAGCAATGTGAGAAATTTCAATGCTGCTTTTGAAAAGATTAAGTCCCTGCAATCCTCTTGGGAAGTGCCTGATCCTAGCCTCCGGGAAGAATTACGCCGTTCCATGTTGAATAGATTGAAGCCAGAATATGAACGGTTTCTTGAAAGGCACAAGAACCATTTCGAGAGCACAAACTTTTTCCAGCAAGCCCAGAAGACAGATGTGAAGTACACAGTTCAGGACCTTCAGGTTTTGATAGAGGAGAACTTGTTCTCACGTAGCGGCAGTTGATAATTTTGATTGAGCCCCACGACGACATGTGATTCATATGTGTGATCCTTCTTAATGGAATAAAGGCTTAATTGTTGTTGTTGTCTGGCTGAATTGGACATTGTTTCATAGATTCCGCTGCAGATCCTAAGTGCTCTGTAACTAAGCCCCCTATAAAATATAAATGGCCTGCAGAATTCTTTTTGTTTTCTTATGGAAATGTGGTAAATAGTGATACAGATCAAATTTCTCCCACACCATCTAGTCTGCTCATTCATGTAAGAGTAGTTGGTGAACAATCAACCTCCTATTGAAGGTTGATATAGGACTATTCTTGGTACCTAGTACTCTTTTCAGCGTTAATAATAACATCAGATGTTTCTGTACATTTTCATTGAAATTAGTTGTAAGTTTCAGTAATATGGCAGAGAATAATACATCATTTCCCATGAAGATTATTCTATTACAAAGTGAAGATGTTTATCTCTTAACTTACATCCTTTTCCTGTTCTTTCGAAGCTTTTTTACTATGCTTTTTATTCTTAAGCTGAAATTGAAGTTGGAAAGAATCTGCAATCTCATAGTTTGATGCTTTTTTACTATGCTTGAGATGCCTAACTCTCAGAGCTTACCTTTTCTCAGTTGTTAATACCAAAGGAGTAGAATTAGTACTAAATGGCAGGATAAAGGGCCCAAAGTCTGCATAACATCTTTAGGATGAGATCCCAAACTTCAGATGAAGGATTCGGAGCTGGTTCAAATCGAGTTTAGGGCTATTGTTAGTTTGAGTCACGTAAACAAAACCTTTTACGCAAACTATGAGGTAAAACCTTAAGCATTGACAGGAGACTGATTCGGCGTGGGAAATCTTCAGTGATTGCTTGAGATTATCAGCTAAGTGAAGGAGGTTCTAGGTCCAAGATTCGGCAAGAGTTCATCATCAAACTGTACAGTACATATGCCCGTAGGCAATGGATGGTGATAGCATTGTAGGCTTATGGTTCTTTTTATTGCTGAAATGATGAACTCAACTAGATGTACAAGATGTATTGCCAGATTTATTAGAAATTATTGATACTTTCGCATACTGCAAACTGATTAAAGTTTGCAGATTAGATATATCGGAAGTTCATAATATTGCATTTTATAGAATGCTATGTAATAATTTAGGGCTTTTATCCTAATCTAATACATGTAATTTAAAAAAAAAAAAAGAAGAAAAAAAACCCTCAGGAATTTGGAAGTCTTGATTTGTTAGTTTCTTAATATGTACAATCTTGGACAATGTTGTTGGAAGTTGGTACATCTTTTCAGATACAAAGCTCACAAGTGGACAATATAGCATGGTAGAAGAATAACCGAAAAAAACTATAGAGAGACCATACTCCAAAATTGAAGTCATTAAAATAAGGGAAAAACAAGTACTAGTTTTTTTTATAAAAAAAAAAGCAAAAAAGACTTTTGGCGGGTAAGTCAACGTCAAGTCGTTACTCGTTAAATTCATATCGCGGGACCCACAAGCTAGCTGGAATTTTAGTCCGTCGGAAATTGCCGAGAATATGTACAGGAAATCCATGGAAGTTGAGGATACTTCGCAGTACTAGTATTTATTTTCACATTTCAAACAGCCATTTTTCTGGGCTTAGATTCCAGTTGAAACAAAAAGAGAAGAAAAAAAAAAACCCCACGATTTAATTTCCCAATTCTGTTTCATCATTCGTATATCAAATACTAACTCCATTGGGAAGCTCAATCTGCAGCCATGTCGGACGCAATCATATCTGCGGTCCTGACCCAACTGTTTTCCGTCATGGAGCAGCAGGTCCGGCAGGAGCTGAAGCTGGTGGTTGGCGTGGATAAAGAAGTCAAGAATCTGGAGAACACGTTTAATTCAATCAGGGCCGTGATTTCTGATGCAGAGAGGAGACAACTAGTGAAAGGGGATGTTGACAAGGAATCTGGATCTTCATCCTCCCAAAGTGTTAAACTTTGGTTGCAGAGGCTTCAAGATGCTGCATACGACATGGATGATGTATTGTCTGAATGGAGCAATGCGCTGTTAAAGTTTGAGATGGAAGATGCCTTGGGAAGTTCTCCCTCTGCCCAGAAAAGGGTAAATTGTATTCACTCAACACTCCAGCTTTAGCTGAAAATTTGCAGAATTGTTGAGAAAGTATATGATTTCTCGTATGACTTGTACTCGTTTTGAACTGCCTGTCCAAAAAAATTTTCAACTTTAATGACCATAGAATATGATGTTCTCAATTGAATATTTTAAATGTAAGTGATTAGTGATTATTGATTTATCAGAGAAAGAAGAAGTGCGCCTATTGATTTGGGTCAGAGGCAGCAGTAAGTACTAAGAAAATTTTATTATCAAGTACAGTACAACTTCACCTAAAAATTATACTCCAGTAGCTTAGCAGATTATCTAACTAATGAATTAGTATCACATTTGAATTCATTGTGTTTGGAATGTACTTTCAGCCTAAAAATTGAAACCATGACTGAAATTTCTACCATTCGAGTTTCTAAGAAGAATGTAAGATCCATTAGCTTTTGTTTCTATTTTGCAGCTTTATGAAATCATAATCGTTGCTTTTTTTTTTCTTTCATTAATTAATATACTACTATAACAGGTGTCCTTCTTGGTCAATTTGCCTTGCTTTTGCTTTAGCCGGGTTGCACTGCGCCGTGATATAGCTGTTAAGATTCAGGAAATAAATTCAAGATTGGATAACATTGCTAGTGACAAAGACAGGTACCATTTTACTCCTAGCAATGCTAGTGTTGATGATTCTGGACGAAGGCTGAATATTAGGCCTCAGACAACATCCTATGTTGATGTCAGTTATATTCATGGTAGAGATAGTGACAAGGCTACCCTTATAGCACAATTATTGAAGGATGGTAATAAAAAGGGGACCCATGATACCGTTTCTGTAGTGGGCACGGGTGGAATCGGTAAAACTACTCTTGCAGGAATAGTGTATAATAGTGAGGAAGTCACGAAGTTTGATGTAAGAGTTTGGATATGTGTATCTGAGCCACCTTTTGATGAGGTATTAAGAGTAGCTAAAGCAATTGTAGAACAACTCGAAGGGAATGCACCAAATTTGTTTGAACTTGAGACACTTTTAGGCCGTGTGAGACAAGGTGTTGAGGGAAAGAAATTTCTGTTTGTTTTGGATGATGTTTGGACGGAGGACTACGGTTGGTGGGAGCCACTGAAGAATGCAATCAGTTCCTGTGCACCAGGGAGTAAAGTTTTGGTGACTACCCGAAAAGAAAGGGTTGCGCAGATCATGAAGAGTGATTACACTTTGCGTTTAGGCGAGCTGGCTGAGAATGATTGCTGGTTACTTTTTAGTCATTTTGCGTTTTCTGAAAGTAACGAGAAGAACAGAGAACAATTCGAAGATATTGGAAAGGAAATTGCAAAAAAGTGTAAAGGGTTGCCCCTCGCGGCAAAGATAATAGGGAATTACATGAGATTCAAAGAATTATTTGAGGAATGGAGGTGTGTATTGGAGAGTGATATGTGGGAATTAGAAGCTACCAGTGAGGGTATTTTCCCAGCTTTGCTGTTGAGCTACAATGATTTGCCTTCCGCTGTGAAGAACTGTTTCTTGTATTTTGCTAATTTCCCACAAGATTGCGAGATTGAGGCTGACAATCTAATCAAGCTGTGGATGGCTCATGGTTATCTTAATCTCAGGGGAAGAACTGTAGTTGAGGACATGGAAGCGTTAGGCACCGAGTACTTGGAGACTTTGGTCATGAGGTCTTTCTTTCAAAGAGTGAGGAAGGAAAAAGATAAAGGTCATCGTGATAATGTTATCCGATTCAAGATGCATGACATGGTTCTTCAGTTAGGGCAATATCTGAAAAAGGACGAGTCACTTGTGAAAAACAGTGGTTTTGCCCTCTCAAACAATTCTTCTTCTGGTGTTAAGACGCGCCATTTAACCTTGATGCGTTCTGAGGACAGTCCTTTCCCTGAATCCATAGGGCATGCAGAATCACTGCATTCCTTTTGGGTTCAATCCTTCCATGACTCCCCATCATTTGTTTGTCAGGTTGACATAGTCCCAACTGAGTTGCTGAAGCACTTAGTCCATCTCAAGTCATTAGATTTGAGCCGAAACAGGTTGCGTGAACTTCCGAAGGAGATTGAGGAGCTACAGAATCTGAGGTACCTTAATTTGTCCCACAATCCATTGTGGGAATTGCCTGAAACAGTATGTGTTTTGTATCGTTTGCAAACACTGAAGCTGGTGGCATGTAATCACCTGAGCAGATTACAGGGAAAGATTCACAAGTTAAAAAACTTGAGGCATCTCGAGATTGACATGACAGAGAGTTTAACTACATTGCCTAAGGGAATTGGACAGCTTACATCTCTTAGAACACTTAGCAAGTTTATCCTAACCGGCAGCAATGAAGAAAGCGAGGGAAAAACATGCACGATTAGTGATCTCAGTGGCCTAAACCAACTTCGCAACTCTATCAAAATCCAAGGCTTAGGGTATGTAACCAATGCAGCAGATGCAGAAAAAGCTGAGTTGAAGAAGAAGGAACACTTGACAGATGTGCATATGGAGTTTAACTCTCAAATGCGAGGTGAGCAGGGGAGAGCAGATGTTGCCGATGCTCTTGAATTGCACCCAAATTTGCAATCCTTGCACATCAGTTCCTACAATGGTGCTCGCCTACCTCATTGGTTGACATCATTAACCAAAATTAAGAAACTCAAACTGGAAGACTGTCCGAATGTTAGAGTTTTGGTTGCCGTAGGAACACTTCCATCACTTGAGAATCTCTGCCTAGAGAAAATGCACGGTTTGAAGCATTTGGGAGCTGAACTCTTCGGTGCATCAGCAGCGACAAATGGAGTAGCACACATGTTCCCAAAGTTGAAGAAACTGACTTTTGCACGGTTGAATTGCTGGGAAGAATGGAACATGACCATCGGCGAAAATGGAACGGCAAGCATAATGCCAGCCCTTCAGTATTTGAAGGTTTCAGATTGTGAAAAACTGAAGACATTGCCAGATTGTGTGGTGTCCAAGTCTCCATTGAAAAAGCTCTACATCAAGAACTGCCCACTGCTGAAACAACAGTACGACAAGAAAACTGGGGAGCATTGGATCAAGATAGCCCACATCTCAAAAGTCCGGATCCTGTAGCAATTTTAAATCATTTCTCTCTGCTAAATCAATCTCTTCTTGTTTGATTTCGCGTCACTGGAAGATTAAACTTGTGATCAAGAAGGAAATGTATCATAAACAATCAGTATGTGTTTTGTTACCAGGAACAGTGACTATACAGTGATTAAACTTTCTTTTTTTTTTTTTCATTTTTGTTTTATTTTTTCCTACCTTTCGAGCATATATGTTAACGTGTTTTTAGTAAAATTCAAAAGTGTCGACCACAAATTGATCGATGCATGAGGCGCAACTGGAATACTAACATGGTAGGCAAGTCTGTACCCAAAATTACAAATTCAAATGCATTTCTTTTTCACGAGTCAATCTGAATGCCCAATAGCTTTTCGGTGAAGGGATGATGTTAGCATATGATTATTTAATGCAGAAGATATTTTTTTTCTTCCCATTTAAGGAGCCATAGAACGTGTAAAAAAGACGTCTCAGATTTCTGCTACCATGGTAGAAATAAAAAATAGATGAATTACGTTTATTTCATTGACTCTTCTTTATTCGTGGGTTACGTTTGATGCCAACAAGGACTGAATCCTCTCAATCTCCTCAAAGGTACTGTGATTTAATTAATTGGAAAATGACCATTCACCAGAATCACCGCTTACTATTTTGATGATGAAATCCGTTACCCTAGGAGGGTGACTAATTTGGATGATTACAATCAGATAAAGTTTTTGATATTTCCCACATCAATGCTACTAATTTCAATTAACCAAGAATTGTGTGTGATGCAAGCTAGACATATATATTTTAGTTTACCCTAACGTAACAGTTATAAATAACTCTGCCTCTATCTTAATTGGGACACAATGAGTAATCAATAGTTATTGAATTTCATGGAAAGATCTAAGTTAGTTAACGTTAATCTCCAATGACCTATGAAAGTAGGTTTAACTATCCTTTTCTAAGAAGATGAACAACTCCTTAACTATATGAAGAGAAGTACAGGTATTTATTTGCATATTGATCAAGTTCTTAATGATTTTTTTTTCTATACTGCACACAGTGTCTTAAGTTTTTAATGATTTGAGATTCATCCCAAAAAGTGTCATTCTTTCTATGGATGCATCCCGAAATTTGTTTGGCGAATTATTTTACTCTAACAAACAAAATTTTTGTTTAGGACAGGGTAATTTCTTATTTCCCCCGCAAATATTGTGCATGTTATGCTAATTAGTTGATAATTTTGTGCAATATGAAGACAAAGTGTAGTTTTATTATGCATCAGCTTTATTTCTAGTTGGATTTCCAGATCATCTCCTACACACCAACTGCGCATGCTGACTAGGTGCCATCTAGACACATCAACGATGAGTCGATGACGATGATCCACAGTAATAATAATTTAATACATTCACAATTCGTAAGTTTTTTCGAAAGGATCGATCTATTTGACCAACCTACTTGTATTATAGTTCATCAGAAAATAAAATAAAATCCTAATTTTTAAAAACTGATGAGACACTATTCACAGTTCACAGGAGTTACGGGGTATAAATGATAACTTCAATGAAATGTGTTTGTGAGAGTTACTTCATTAAAAAGATCTGTATTTAATTAAACTGTTTTTAAATTATAAATTATTTTTTTTTGAGATTGGCAGATTATATTATGTTTATTTATCATACTTCTACAATATAAGGGAGTCAGGTGCAATATTGGTGCTTAATGTTTTTCTGAAATTGTGGTGGATGATCAGCCATTTTGATTGCCACAAATCTCAGGAAAAATTGATAATTAGCACAATTATAAACTATGCAGTTTAATGCCAATGACCTGAGCTATATAGCTAGCTAACTTAATAATTGTTAAACCTAATGCATGATAAAAAGGACAACTAAGTTAGGTACTTAGGCCTTTAATTATTGTACCCTCTAAATTAGGTCAACCACGAATTCTCCTCTCATTTTGTTTTCCTTTTTTCCACCAAGCAAATGATTGAGGGGATCAAGAAGCATATGCCAGAAGATCAAATATCCATTGGGAGATGACACCTGTGAAACCCCTTTTCTTATTTTTTTTTATCATCTTTATTTATATGTTGAAGAAATTCATACGACACATGTACATATAATAATTTCATTATCATAAGTCTTTTTTTTTTTTTTGGGTCTTAGAATAAATATATAGTAGCCCGTCAATATATTCTGATCAGTTCTAGGAAAAAAAAAATACAATTTATTCCGTCAGAGGTTTAATTTAGTGCGCCACCATCAGGTATCACGTTGTAGAATCCAATAATGAATGCAGTTATGATTTGTGAAGGTATGAACTAAGATCGTTCTATCCATATTTTGCCATTAAACGTTGGACAATTTTACTACATTATAATTATGGTCAATATTGGAAGCCAATTTTCTTTTTTTTTTTAGCAGTATTGGAAGCAATGATTCAGTAAACTAATCATTACGTATTAAAGAAATTACTGTATATACTCTTTCATCAAGAAGATGCTATCTGAAATGTGGTCATTTCTTGCAATTTAGCTAAAAAAAACAACTCTTGTGATCATTTTTGTTCTCATTTTCTCTATGTCCGAAGCTAAAACCGTTAAATATTACCGCAGTTCCTTGGTGTCGGCCAAAGAAATTATCCCGTATGGTAGAGGACATCTTTGATCGTCATCTTTAAATTGATCCTCACTTAGTGCTGGTTGATTCTTGTATACGTTATAAAATTAATATGTTCTATCAAAAAAAACTTTAAAATTTGGTTCCGTGATTCGAATTGAATTTGGAACACTCCATAAAACAAAGGACGCAGTCAACCGCGAAAACATTGAGGATCTGGACATTTTAAGCCTTCGAAGTTGTGTATGTGTCTCCTTAATTCTCTCAGGCTTGTCAGTTGAGATTCTGATTATCAAACCCTAAAATGAGGGAATTTAAATATTTCTAATTATGTTTTTACCAAAAAATTAATGTGTATGTAACAACATAAAGACGCCAAATGTACAGATCAATGTTAAAAAAAGAACAAATAATATACTACTACGAAGCAAAATATATTCAGCTAACATCACCTAATTTTGTCGTTGATGAATAATATAGTTTGATCTCTTGTCCTTTTGTCTTATGAACTCAAAACCGGGTCAAAATGGGTTACTTTAATACTTCTATTTTAATGGAAAAGAGACAAGGGTTTTCAAAAACAGTGGATGTCCTTTTCCAAATCATGGCGAAAAAAAAAAGAGAAAAGCTTTTTGTTAAAAAAGAAAATAATAATAATAAGTCTTAAAAATTATTTTGGTCCTTGGATTAATGAAAGGGACTTTATATAAATAGGTCCATCTCGCAACCACAAGGGGGTCCAAGGAGGTAAAGTGGAATAACCCCACATTATTCTTTGCCTAGAGAACCAAATAATAATAATAATTATTATTGTAAAAAATTGTCCGGAAAAATCCAATTGCGTGGATTTCACTCTTTTTCTCGTCTCTTCAACTTTGAATCAAAATAATTAAAAATCGGCCCCAATTTTCCATCAACATGATAACGAGTTTTTCCAACACATTTTTTCTATTTCTTGCAATTTCTTTGTCGCCAATGCGGAACAATTAATTATATGCTTCTTTTCCCTTCTAGAACGATGGCATCGTGTCAATTTTGTTACGAGAGGACCAAGCAGTCTTAATTAATATCAAAATTAAAATATTTTTTGATATTAATAAAAAAAAAAAATTTCATCATGAGTATTATGCTAAAATCACCAGACTATACATAAAATGGGAATAATACTCCCCAAAAATTTGGATAAATAAAAACCACACGTTTTCATTCAATGGTCTGGAAAAAAATAGGACCTCAACATAAATGTCATTAAATTCGCTTACCAGATTTTGGTTGACCTTAGGGAAACATTGTTGCTAAAGCATTTGCCTCGTTGAATTTTTAGATTGAAGTTTATGCAACACATTTATGAACGTTTATCTAGCTAGTGTGATTTTCTGTATTTCGATTGTTTATTTCAATCTCGAGCACTTATAATCAACAAGTATGTGACTATGATGTTGGTAATGTAAAATAATTAAATAGAGCTGCTACGTACTAGTCTCGCTTAAGTAATACTCTCTCATTTATTAAAAAATAATCTATACTAATTTTCGAAATTTATACTACATTTTTTAAAGACGAAGAGAGTAATTCTTAAGGTGTATAATTTGTGGCGAATATGAATAATTAAAAAACAAAAAGCTTTAGTAAAACTGCATCTGTAGTGTAGTTAATTAACATTGGTTTCCAACTATTTTGTTTGATAAATAAATCCTCAATTTGACAATATAACCGTAATTCACTGCCACCACAGGATTGTCATGTCATTTTACTCAAATCATTTCAACATCAAGTTCGATTGAGATTGCGCTTCATAAATTATGATAAATATTTTTGATTGATGGAAAACATAATTATCACCAACTATTTTCGTACCTTGTCATTTCCCCACCCAAAAATTAGAAGAATGTAATTAATTCTGTTACATTTAATTATTTATCAGATATTTTATTCTGTCTCAATTAATTATTATTATTGTTATTATGACATGTAATTATATCTTAATGTAGTTATAGTAATATTTTTTTTTCATCGCAAGTTCGCTACAAGTTATAGTATCCATCACGGTCGTGCCGTGTGAGTGCCTTGTAATTTTATATAATTACCAAATTTTAGGTTATGGTTTTGTGATTAATAAACGATTTATTATACAATTCCCTTTATTTGGATTTTCCAACAGTTATAAGTCACATGATGATCTTTGCCGTATTTGTATCTTCCAAAAATAGTTCGATGTTAAGAAACCATTTTTACACCCAATTAATTAAGTTGTTGAATCAACGTGGAAAAATTCTGGCCATTGGGAGAGACAATGGTTGCTAATTCTCCAACATCTCCTTAAACTCAACCATAGATTATCCTAATCATTTCAATTAACTAAAATAAAAAAACATTTACATCAAGATACTAGCCGCGATTTTCGTAAATCAAATCCTGCTTATCCCTCAAAAAAAAAAAAGTTATATGTGACAGAAAAAAAAATCATTGTATGGCCCTTTTTTTTCCTCCTAGATCAATATAGATAACAGTATGTTTTCATTTGAATCAATACCATATTATTGTATAAATATAATCTTTTAGTCCTTAAAATGCGAAATGTTGATACGTAAACCGTCAAATTACATACGTTAAAGACTTGTCAAAAAACATATAATCGATCATCTAATGCTTCTTTTACGTGTTACCCATCATTTAGAACCATTTTTTTATATTATTTTTTTGGGGGTCAATTTGCTCTCTTCTCATCGAACATTGATATAAGAAAGAAAGAATAAATTAAGAATCTAATATGAGATTCCTTACTTGTGAAGGCTAATGACCGGGAAATCAAACCAAGCAACCTCCAAATCACAAAATTGAATACCCATTGAATTGGTGCAATTAACGTCAATAATTATTAAATGAACAAATAATTGGACGGTTTTTGGCAAACAAAATAATAAGAATGGGAGAAAATCCATAAAATGTTTCAATATCTTCCACGCGATTCACTTCACAAAATATATAGGTCTGAAGGCGAGTTGTAACCGAGCTGGAGATAAAGCCGACACGTCAAGTGGAGACCACGTGGGATAGATTCATTGGTCCAAACAGAACTTAAAGAGAGAAGAAGGGGAAAAAAAAATAAATAAAGAAAGAAAGAAGCAATATTCGCCGAAAATTCCCTCAGAGGAGAAAAACTAGGGTGACAGCGGGCGCAGATAATGCGCAGCTGGCAGTCCAATCATATGAGGCCAGAATTTATTTGACAGCATCATTTGATGACGTGGAAGTTTTCATTATGCCTGGCCCCACGCCCGCCTTCTTTCCCTCCAATCATTACTAGGAAGGGTAAAATTTGCGTTGATCATCCCTTTTCTTTTACTTTTTGCTTCTTCTTATTCTTTTCTTCTCCTTTTTTTTTTTTTTGGTAAAAAAAAGAATTGTGCTTACGATATTGTACTTTCACCAAAGGAAAAATCAGTAAAAATCCTAGATAGTAGACCAATAAAAATGCATATACTAAAAAATTAAAAATAAAATATCGAAATTTACCTATACTGATTGCTGTATAAAAGTGGTTTGCTAGTAAAAAAAAATTGTGATTATTTGTATTTTTAACATGGAGAATAATCTCCATTAATTATTTGCAATAGAGAGATACGGATAATAAGTGCGTATAATTAGGGAAAATGGATGAAATCGAATCAAATCATGGAGGCAAAGGGGGAAAAAAAAACCAAATTGAAAATTTTCTAAACATGGAATGGACAAAGCGAAAACATGAACCAAAATCAAGGGATTTTGTTGATATAATATTTTCCTTCTTCTAGTCCTCTCACATCCCTCTCCCACCTTTATAAGGTTTTCCTTTCTTTCTCTCCAAAATCCCGAACGACAAAAATAATAAAAACGAAAAAACCCGAAAAGAATTCTCTACTCTCTTTCTCTCTCTCTGTTTCTCTCTCACATCAGCTTTTTTTTTTCCATTCCTGTGGGCATTTCTGCTGGGAGTAGAAGTCGCCGCCGTGATTATTTCATAATCTGCAGAATCCAATCATTGAAAAATAGCTGGATTTTTCGGCCCTTTATTTCGCAACTTGTTACTGGAGGAATAAAAGGAAAGGGGGAGGGCAAGAAGGCAGAGTGGTCGCGTATTCCCAAGAGAGAATCTTTGCTCTGCTGCTCAGAACAAAAATGTCTTTCCTTCTTACATTTTTCATTCCCGAGGAAACTCTCATTCAGGAAGAAGGTGAGTGGGAGAAAGAACGATAGATTTTTATACAAGGAATAAAGCTTTCTGGAGGAACATAAATAGAGCAGAATTCCAGAAACAGATCACTCCAACGTTGGTGAAAAAGAAACTACCCCTGTTATTATTGGTCAATTGCCTCCAGTTTGTTTCGATTTCATCTCATCTGTAAGTACTAATTTTCTTCACAATTTGTGTAAAGTTGGAAGCTCTGTTTTTTTTTCCTCTTATGAGTTTCAATTTCAATTGATAATTTGTGATGGGATTTTGTTATTATATCTTCAGACGATGTCTACTTCGGTGATCAGTGATGCTGCAATCCTGATGACGACGGTGAATTCCACTCCGGCCGCCGCTGCGGCGGCGGAAACTGCGACAGAGGTGGAAGCTACCTGCGAGTGCTGCAGATTACGGGAGGAATGCACGTTGGCTTATTTAGAAACGGTAAGGGAGCGGTTTCAGGGGAAGTGGCTTTGCGGGCTCTGTTCGGAGGCGGTGAAGGACGAGATGGTCCGGAGCGATAGGCTGATCAGCACGGAGGAAGCCGTGAATCGGCACTTTAGCTTCTGCAACAAATTCCGGTCGTCGGGTCCGCCGCCGAACCCGACCCAACATCTAGTTTCTGCTTTTAGGCAGATATTGAGGAAGAGCCTGGGTTCGCCGAAATCGGTGAGGTCGATGCCTAGTAGCCCGACGAGGAGTGGGCGGTTCCGTCTCGGCGGCGACGGAGGGGCGTTGATCCGGTCGGAGAGTTGTCTTCCGAGCTTGAATTTGGTTGACTCGGTGGTGGCCGGGTTTGATGATGACGTGGAAATACAAGCAAATTCCAGTGATGAAATATGAATTGAAAATTTGGGGAAATTAAGTGGACATTGCCCGAGTAAAGACAAGAAAATGGTGATTCGGAGAGGATAGGAAATTGGAGGAATTATCATAAATTTGATGAATGGAGAAACAACCATTTTCATCAACCATAAACATAGGATCTTTAAGGGCAGAACTTTAGCTACATTATGTTACCAGTAGATTTTAATAATTTTCCTCATAAATTAGACAAGTCTAGTGTCAATTTTGCCTGTTCGTTTCTTTTCCTTGTCTAATTTAATTCATGATTGATGAACAATCAAACTGAAGAGAACTGTGAATATAATGAAAATCTCTTCTGATTTGAACTCTAAAGCTCAGAATTCAAGGATCGATCGAGTCCCAATTTTCAAAAATTCGATGCAAAATTGTGAATTGCTGTTGAGGTTATGGGCCTTGTGCGACATTAAACCCAATGTGATCTCTCCTTTCAGGGTTAAGGAACAATCTTATTAAATGGCAAATTAGTCGAGTGTCATGTACTTAATACACCGTGTGCAATATGAAAAAAAAATGACAGAAGTTTTGAAGACGGAGTATTAAAAACACAAGAAGTTTTGAAGACAAAAATTTGGTGTTAGAAGCATAATAATTGGTTTGGCATTATGAATTTTTACTTGTAGCAATGGTTTTAACAAATGTATAGGTGATCCCATAGAGTACTTCATGGTGGTAGGGATTTTGGGATCCAATGCCTTAAAACATTACTACAAACTTTTCCAATGGGTTGATTTATGTGTCTTTCTGGAAACGAATAAATACATGCTATTATCAATGATTTACGTGAATTTTTCTATAATAACATAGCAAATTTAAAATGAAGCTTAGTCACACTAACTATAGAACAATTTGGTAATGTGTCTCGATTTGATCATTTCTTCTTAACAGAATGATTCGTTTTTTAAGGTATTCATTTTTTGGGATTTATTCTATAGTGACCCCGAAGAATATTCTGAAGCTTGAGGACTGTTGACTCTTATACGGCATTATATTACATGCAGATACTATACCCAGTAACAGACTTCTTCGTTAGGGAGAAAAAAGAGAGAAAGAAAGAGAGACCAAAAAAAAAAAAGAAAAAAAAAAGAAAAAAGAAGGTAGATAAAGCGTAAATCAAGCAATGTCATGTTTTAGTGGTTCACGAGAAGTATCATTGGTATCGTTATTAAAAGTTTGGGCTGATTGGTTTAATTAATTAGGTCATCTTGTGATTCAATGTGTCACATAAATTCACTGTTCATTCCATCTTTTCCACATTTTACTTTCTTGTTTCTTCTTTTAGTAATGGCTTTCCAGATATTTTTTCTATGATTCTCTCATTCTCTGTGGTCTCTGCTATACATTCACATTAGAAACAGTAGGAAGTAGTTACGTTTGCAGAGTGGCCATTTTAAAAAAAAAAATTGCAAGTGAAACTGGTTACAAAATCTGCTTCATTTTATCTTCTTTCAACATGCCAAGTTTTCATTTTCTTTCTTTATTTCCATTCATTCTCTCGATTTCTCAAACTCAAAAGGGAGCACTATAACATTTTATGTGTCTGTTTCCGATGTTAGGAAAAATCATATTTGCTCTAAAAAGGATTGCATTAATTAGCTTAGTTTGATGGCCATTGCAAGGGAAAAAAGAAAGCATTCTCTAACACTTAATTCTCTCAATTCTAAAGGAAAGATAAACGTAACTACGAATAAAGTGGAAGATGCAAGAATCCATAGTTTATGATCAATCAACTGGGAAAGTGCGAATGACCATCCATGTCTTTTTTTTAAGGAAAACAAACTTCATTGAAATTTATATTTGGCCTTTTTAAAAAAATTATATTTTAATTTAATTATTTTTTTAGATTTTGTGATACAATCGATAGTATGTTTAGTTAAATTACAGTACCATAAGATATACTAATAAAGGGGCTTGCTATTGGACGTCCTAACTTTACTTTAGGATGCCCCAAAATTATAATTTGGCCTTTGTCATTTTTCCCAAACAGAGTAGCCTGATCAGAGAAATAGCCGATTAAAAGATAATTTATATATATGAAAATTGGAGTGGCAAAGGGGATACACGCCTCTTTGCCACCTGGGCATGCAAAGCACGCGCAACCAACTGTTCGGCTGGTATGTGGTCCGCTCGCCGCCGGACTGGGCGGGCTTACATTTGACCCCGCGGTCCATTATATGGCAGGCGGTTGACTGCCGGTCTTTCGGGTTGGCTCGTGCTTGCATGAATTTATAATTTATGCATTTTGAATGAATTATTTGAGATTTATGGTTAGGTTTAGTTAATTATTTATTTTGGTAAATAAATAATGTGTTTAGTTACATATTTAGAAAATTTTAGTTACTTGTTTGATATTTAAATAATTAAATGAATAATTATTTGGTGAGATTTAAGCTTGTGAATAATTAATTGAATGATTAAATGAATAATCAATTAAACTAGTGGATTTAAACTAGTAATTTAAGAATGGTTCATGATTAAACAATGTAGTTTGAATTAAGAGCTAAACATTTAGTAAATTATTTTAGGACCTAAACTAGTAATTTATCATAACTAATTAGCCGTAACTAAATTATTTCTTCTGAATTTGTTAAAATTACGTTGATTAATCTCAACTAAATGTGACAATATTAATTTATTTTAGTTTATCAAAACTTAATTATCAATCTTAACTACATGTATCTCATTTAGTTAATTTTAATTTATCATAACTAATTATCCGTAACTATACTAGTTTATCTTTTTTGTTAAAATTAAATTAATTAATCTCTAGTAAATGTAACAATATTTGTTAATTTTAATTTTTTCATAAAAAAAATTAATTTGAATAAGTAAATTCAATAATATTAATTTTCTTATTTAATACTACATTAATATACAATATTATATATGTAAAAAAAAAAGCTAAAACCTGGGGCGTGCAATTAAAAAAAGAAAAATTAAACCCTATACCCTAAATCCTAATCCTTAGGCCTGCCATGGGTTTCCTAACGCCAGAGCCCTATCCAGCCGGTTTTCTTCAATGCCGGCTGGGCAGATTTTTTTTTCTTTTATTATTTAATTTTTCTCTGTAATTTTTTAATCTTATTTATTTTTTTATTTTTTATTTTTTATGTTTGGCCTTTGTCCCACCATCAATTTTTGTTTTCTATTTACTTCGAAAATGATATTTCTTGATGTTTGGATTGAGAGAATTCTATGTTGAATGTAAGTTGTTGTGAAAAAATGAAAGGGGCAAAACAATCATTTGGGGGCGTCCTAAAGTAGAATTTAAGGCGTTCAGTAGCCTTCCAACAAATAAATTATTTTTTAATCTAAGCTAAATATTTTATTATTTATCAAAAAATTTGTTTTGAAATAATCTTATTCTTTAAAATGAAGGAAAAACGGATCCAAAAAAAAATAGTATTGTTAGTGTTGAACTATATTATTAAAAGAACTAATATGTTTATAGTAGATGATTTTGCCAAAACGATTTTTAGCATCCAGATCAAATTTAAAGCAAAATGACAAAATTATCCATCTCCAAAAAAAAAGTACAAAAAGTAACGTTTAACATATCTTTCATCCTCTCGCTTGCCCTCTTTATATCTACTGCCCTCCTCCCCTCGACCACCGAAACTGAATTTAGTCCACAGCGGTAGATCAGTGAATTAAAGTTGTAATTGCATCGCATTTATTCATAAGATTAGTCAAATTCAAAGAAAATGTCTCACTTGTTGAATCGGGTAGAGAAATTGAAAGATGGTGAATTGAAGTCCACCGATCTACCGTAAAATCATAAAATCCCTCCGATTTCACCTAAATTACTACTGAGGTGAGAAAAAAAAATTAGCGCGGTAAGTTTTGATAAGAAAACAAAAGAACCTCGGGTTTCTCGAAAAAAAAATAAAAAGAAAAAAGATAACCTTATAGAAAGAAAAAGATGTTAACTGATTTGTATGAACGACCCGCAAGTTTATGGTTCCAAAGGGCTTATTTGCAGCAAAGAGTTTGAGATTGGCAATTTTTAATGTATGATCGTGTTTCTAATCGGAATCGTTGAACCCAATAGAGAAAAAAATATTTAGATTTCTTTAAGGGAAAAATATTTGAAATAGTTTTCAAAGGAAAAAATCACGGGGCATGTTTGAGGTTGGGGAAGAGATATAGTTATCGATCAGATTTTATACCTTTTAATTTTGATGATAGTCGGGATGGAGGAGGGTTGAGGTTTTGAAGGAAGGTGAAAGATTAAAAGATGATGATAAGTATCTTCAATATAGGTGTTTTTGTCTTTTCATTTTAAGTTTGTTTTGGATGTTAAAAGTTGTTTTGGCAGAATCATATGCCTATATATAATTATATATATTCTAATAAAAATATAATTATTAATTAATTAATATTTATTATGTTATTATGACTTCATCCGAGTCGACTCCGATTCGCCCTGAGTCAACCCCTGATTCGCTCGACCCCTTGCCCTTGCCGAGTCGAGTTCCGGTCCGAGCCTAACAACACTGACTATAACAATGAGGTTATATATATCTTACATATGCAAGCAGCCCCTGGTTGCTTGATTGATCAGTCTCTTCACATTCCACAACCTTAAATTTTACACTTTTTAAGGCCCTGTTTGGTAAACTCATTCAGCACTTAAACTTAATTGTTAAATACTTAATTGATTGATACTGTTTGATAACACAATCTCAGAACAACTTAATTAATTAAGAACTTTACCTATCACTTATGTCTGAACTGGATTTTTGAGAAGATTTTTTCTTATTTATTTACTTTTATATTTATACTTTTGATGTTTTATCTTAAAACATTTTATTAATCTTGGTGTTTAGTTGTAAGTTAAAAATTATAAAAATTCTTTTTATTTAATATATATTTATTTTATTTTATTTAAAAATTAAAATATAAATGATAAATATATATTTACCATAAAATTATGATTTTTTTTATAATGAATAAAATGTGATAATATTATTAATTGGAAAAATAATTACATAACAAAATTTAAATATTTTTATTAAATAATTTCATCATACAGTAGTACTATTATTTTTATTATCATAATATCATATTCATCAATTATTTTTTTACACAAAATTATAAGTTGAGATATTTTAAATTTCAATGTTCAAACTTCAACAGACATTTTCATTCAATCTTCAGATTTTGATTTTTATCAAACAAGACAACCTTAATCAGTTTAGTACTTATGGTTCAGTATTAAGATTTCAGACTTCAGACTTAAATTAAATTTTATCAAACAGGGCCAAGACATCTTCTTAATGTAAGTCTGTCTATGCAATAACACTAACATCTTGCACAAATTAGTCTGAAATGTACATTATGAGCGCTTGCCTCTTGAAAGAACTCCGCAAACTTGGCAAAATATTCTATGGCAAATCCTTTCGATATAAGAGCAGGGTTTCCTGGACCACCATCTAGTGCCGCGCGACCAGTATTATCACAAATCCTTTTGCTCCATTCTCGTTTGAGACCTCATTTGTTTAGATATTATTAGATGTTTATTTGATGTCTAATAATTGATGAGAAAATGTAGGATTTTTTTAATTGAGTTTTTATGTTAAGGATTTGAATTACAATTACGTATTTTTTTTATTATAAAATGTTAGTGTTTAACTAGCACATAAAGGAAATGCGTAGAAGGCCCAACCCGACATTGAGAGAGTCAAATTCAAGTCCAAGTGGAGTTACAGTTAAAGACGAAAACAAGAAATCGGAAATAAAATACAATTGTACTTCTAAATCAGCAATACCGAATTGGAATGGGAATCGGAGATTGCACCGCCCTAGACGATTGTCGAGCCATATATAAAGAGAGAAAGAAGAGTGACAAAAAAACAATTCATTATCAACACAAACACAACACAAGTTGCAAAGTTCTTTTCTTCTATTAGTATCCCTTTATTTTATTTTCGATACTCCTTTACAAGTCTTTTCTTTCGATTTACTTATTGTATTTCGTTTAAGTTCATCAATTCATCATCAATTCAGTTATTTATTCAAGTTATATATTACAAGCTTTTATCACCTTCTTTCACGCCTAGCCGAGTATTTGCACTTCACGAATTACACACTTTCGTTTAATATTGTTTGCAAGTGTGCGTCACTTACTATTGATTCTTTTCGCACAAACAGTTTTATATCAATATATGATCTGTTTCGATATTATTAATACACGCAGGTACTATTTAATTTTTTACTTATGAAATTCAAATGTGTATATGGGTTATAATTTTGGAACCAAGTCAAACAATTATTCATCATATTCACGCTTTGCTTGATTTGTTTTATTGCCATCGAAGCCTCCCAATCAAATGGTCCCATTTAAACATTCTCAATATAGTTTACATGGCTCTTTCGGTTTCAGTTTTAACTTCATCACATAATAATAGTATTCGACAAAAGTGGATCTTGCAATTTACATTTAAGGATAGAAATCAACAACAGAGGTATAGGGATTAGTTGCTTAACGGACTGTTTCATTCTCAACAATCGTTTATTCTCGTTTGCATGCGTGTTACGTTATTAGAAATGATGTGTGTTTAACTATTTATTTTTTAAAAGGATTGTTTCATTTGTTATATTCATTTTTTTACTCTTGAGTCGTCATGAACCTCACACGCAATAGATGCGGCACCGCAGACCGATGACCAGCTGCCGGCAGTCGACGAGGATAAGGAGTAGGCAAGAGAGGATTTGAGACAGCGTTGAGTTTGTGAAGTAAAAAAGGAGGGAAAAAAAAAAAGAAAAAAATTAATAAAATTGCGATGAATTCTGATTTTCATTTTCTAATTAAATTTTATTATAAATTTTTAAGGTGATGTGAATAAGCCAATTAGATTATCATGTAAATAGAGATGTTAGTAGAGTTAAAAAAAGTAAAGTGTATCTCAAAAACAAAAAAAAAAAAAAAAAGTAGAGTGAGAATATCATTAGATTTATGGATTTAATTGTTATTCTCCACATTTGGTGGACCTTTTCATTGTTTGATGAAAAGACTTTCAGTAAATTTATCCACTGCTGTAACTCCTTTCCCAAGTTCCACGTGTGAAAAATACGCGTTAAAACAGTGGGAAATTAACGAAGTCGGAAAGCACATTTTTTCTTTCGAGCTTTAATGGATACCACATAATGCACTATTACAGTTGAAAAACACATCGGCACATTCCCAATCACTAACACAAATGAACTCATATGATTATTACATTTTAAAAAAAAAGATGCGAAAGGTAAACATATTCTTCCCCATGCTTTCACAACATTCCCTTTCGGAAGAATCCCAGATGTGGCCAAGAGATGATAACCTTCCTGAAGAGAACGACCCAAAATCTAGCAAGCTCTGACAAAGACAGACGCAAGCGTAGCACAAATCAACATAAAAAAAATGTGAATAAACGACAGACAACAAGCCAGACCTAGTGAATGATCTCAACACGAACTACAAATACGGAGGAAAAAAAGATATTTCATTCAAGAAAGAAAGGCAAGACAAAAAAGACTTACCAACCGAAGTTAATTCCCTGAGCTAATGGCAGGTCATTCCCATAATTGATGGTGCTGTTGAAAGAAATGGGCAGTAGTCTAGGTCAATTTTTTAATCAAAACAAAACGTGTAGGATTCAGTGATGAAACTGGTACACATTCAAAATTTTTGTAAGTATGCTTGTGAACTATGATAAAAAAAAAGCAAAGAGGGAGGAACTGGTTTTACCAAGTAGACCGTCTCATGTACTGTTTCCATGAATCACTTCCTGCCTCTCGTCCACCACCAGTGGCTTTCTCTCCACCAAATGCTCCACCAATTTCAGCACCATTTGTTGGAATGTTGACATTCACAATACCACAATCGCTTCCTGCTGGCCTGCAAACCACTAAGCATGTCATAACCAAGGAATGAGAGGGTAATGCGACTTTGATTCTCAGAAGTAATAACAGAAATATATTTGATTCGAGCAAAGAGGAAATCCACAGAAATGAAAGATGACAGTTTCACATCGAGAAATGGTAAAAGCAAACTCAGCCTAACCCTTAGGACTTAGGGTCCCGTTTTCCCACATCAGAATGTTTTGTTTGTTTTTTTAAATGATCCTTGCCAGATCCAGGTAGCATAGCAAGTCATTTAAGCCGGAATACTTTCAGTTAACTAAATGACAAGAATTTGCATTACTCACCCAATCCATCTGAAAATAATATCTGGTCTACGGGTGAAGATGGAGCTGCTAAGGCCCTGAGGCACCGAGTTGTTTATTTCTATTGCTTCCTTCAGAGTCTGCAAAAATGCAGTATTCATGATACAATTAGACAATGGATCTGTGCTACTAAAAGAGAGAAATTATGAATTGAGGTTAGATTCTATTCTGAAGTACCTGAAATTTCATAACATAAAGAACAGGACCAAAAAGCTCCTCCTTGACTACATCAGCTTCGGGCTTGATTTCAACAATTGTAGGTTGGACAAAGTTTCCTTCTGATTCAATCACAGAACCGCCAGTCAAGATCTTCCCCCCCTGAAACATTACCGTATGAGAATTAGAATATAACGAGTTGAAGCAGAAGGAAGCTAAAGTGCCTAACTCGAATGAGTTTCAATAAATAAATAAATCACTGATGTGAGGGTAAGTTTGTGCTAATCGACACCTGAAGCAAACTCTACTCAAAATTGATTTTTCCCAAGTCTTTTAGGGACACTTATCTTTATTCATTAGTCAAACATGCGACCCCGATTACTAAGAAGCTAAAGAAAAAAGTAATAAAGGAGTAAATACGAGCAACACTGTGCGGCTGAATTCCGGAGAGATGAAAAAAAAATGCTGTGCTGGAAACTTGATACCTGAGAAATGATGGCCTGAATTCCCTTCTCAAAGTTTTCTTTAGAAGTACGAGTGTGAAGCGGCCCAAGCAGTGTACCCTTTTCTAAAGGATCTCCGATCTTAATTTGTTTGTATGATTCTAGGAGTCTGCCAAGTACTTGATCGTATATGCTCTCATGAAGAAGCTACATCATCAAAGTAAAGAGAAAAGAATACTTAGTCTTGATACCAAAATGAAGACATTTTGGTTTAATCCTAGTCCAGCTAATCAACTCAACATACCAATCTCCGACAAGTTGTGCAACGCTGGCCAGCCGTACCAACAGCGGCGAACAAAACAGAACGCACAGCAAGTTCGAGGTCGGCGTCGTCCATAACAACTATAGCATTATTGCCACTTAATTCAAGCAGGCATTTACCAAATCTCTGATTCACTGTCTGTTGAACCATTAGACCCACCTGTTTTAACATGCACGACAAGCAGCAGTAAGTCAAAAGGTAAAAGAAGAGATATATCAGACAAAATTGTGATTCCAGAAAATAAAGAAAATAACTCCTGAAGTAATTTGGGGAGCTTTAGGATGATTGACTCAATATCTTGGATAAAAGTTCTCATGCCTGAGCTTTAGAATGAATCACATCGTTATTAAGATCAGCTAAGCAAAAAAGTGTTCAGTTCATGAGATATTACACAGTTCAAGTGGGTGCAAATAGTTCCTAGGTACGCAAAAATGAACATGTTCGGATGGATTGAGAAGTGTAAACAGAACAAAATTCAAAGAATTAGTCCATAAAAAAACGTGAAGCAGTTGCCAGATAGATAATAAGTTCAAGAAATTCACCAAGAAATAAACCTTTTCTAAGCAGACATAGGATCATATGAGAGTAAAAAGCTACAGCATGGGAACAATAACAGAAAAAACCTTTGTTGAGAGAAAGTGCATAGTACCTTCGTACTGCCTGTAAATGAGACTAGGGGAATGCGCGCATCTTTAGATATGGCTTGGCCAACTTCAGCATCTCCACAAAAAGCAGTAAAAACAGCACCAGGTAGATTATTTTTCTCCAACACCCCAGCAACTATTTTTGTCATCGCTATAGTAACCAAAGGGGTGGTTGGAGCACCTTTCCTATCATTGCGACATGGAAGGAATTCAATTTGAGTTTGATACACATAAAAATATCAAACATAAGAAAGACATAAAACTGAGAGCACCATAAAAACTTCAATGAAGCAGCAAATGTGACTCCAATTTCTAATGGTGACTCAAAACAGGCTTCACGAAATAGTGAGTCTGAGAGAAACTCATGAGACTTACCACACAACACAATTGCCACAAACCAGAGCGAGGCACGCATTCCATCCTAAAAAGGTAAATAAAAGTAAAAGTTACAATAAAGAGTAAGAACTATTTTTCAAAGCAACTTTGTAGAGATTTTGAAGGTCAAAATTTATACACACACAGTTTTGCATACTTCAATGTTTTAAAATTTTAACGTACAGTCTCCCACTGAAGGGATTTGTAGTAAATTATACAGATATGTTGCTGACCATAAATGCGGTAGGATGAAAAACCAAAATCTTTATACCAAAACGTGTAGCAGCAAGTAAGAGCAACGATCTTGAGAGTAAACAAAAAAAACTCAAGGGAACCAACAATCGTAAGTTCAAACTGGCATTCATGCATTGCATGTTCCAGATAAACCTCCTAGGTAAGCAAGTATGTCGTAATATTTGTGACATTTTCTCACCTAGAACAGCACAAGGGAAATTGAACGCGGTAATTACACCAATTATTCCCAAAGGATTCCACATCTGCATACATCATATTTGCGAACAATATTACATAGTGTATACAATAAATGTAATTTCACAAGATCTAGAAGCAGGACCAGCATACCTCAAACATCATGTGATTGGGACCTGTTCAAAGGTAACAACGATTAATATGGGAAGATGGTTTGTTGGTAGTGAATATAAAGTTAATGGTGGTCTATCCTAGCTTATAAACTATAATACAGAACTGAAACGTTAAAATGAGGGCTCCAATTTAGAGAACTAGTTTAACAGTAGCATTGAAAACCATTGCAAGTATATGAGAAAGACCATAAGCAAGACATTGCGAGAAGTTCTTAGCACTACGTGGCAGAAAAAGGAGTTCTAGGTTTGTCCTACAGGAAGTGTAGATAGAGATGGGCTTACGTTCAGAAGGAATGATTGATCCATTTAATTGCCGACTTAATCCCACCGCGAAGTCACACATATCAATGATTTCCTGTGGTCATTGGAAGTAAGAAGGAGATACAAGTGAATTACTTTCAAGCACAAAATATGACATTTAGAATGAAATACAAGTGAATTGCTTTCAAGCACACAATATGGCATTGTGATTTAACAATAAATATATCAACAGTATGCTAGCTTTATATCTCATCATTGATAATCAAGATGTAGTTTGTTTGATTACAAGTGTTAGGACAATAAAACAACCCGAAAATGCAGTTCCTCCGTTTCTAACAAGAAACACATTTTCTAATTCAAAATTCACATAATTTTTAAGTGACAGAACAGTTTCAGAACAATTCGTACCCAGAAAGTGGACAAGTAATGCACCTTTGGCCAGACATAAGAAGTTAGACTAGAGAGCTTACTTGTAAGACCCATTTTCATCCATTATGTCAACAATTGATATTCATCAGAAAAGTTTGAGCAAGCCTAATTCATTACATTCAGGATCATCAAAATTACAGGAAAGAGACAGATACCCACTTGAACCTCCCCTATCCCTTCAGCAAGTATCTTCCCCATCTCAAGTGACACAAGCCGACCAAGTTGCTGAAGTTTGGCTCTCAGTGCATCTCCAATTTGCCTAACGATGTCACCTCGTTTCGGAGCAGGGACCTGAACACAAAAAACCTTTTTGTTGCTTAGAGCAAACAAAATTTCATACGTCTGCCACACGTAAATGAGCCAACACTGTTTGCCATTTTCTATTGCCAATTCTAATAGGGAACAGTTTCGAAGTAAAATCTGCAATTGACGACTTTGTTGCTAACTATCATAAGTGATGATCAGACCTGCATCCATATCTTTTGAGCTTCATAGCAAGCTTGCAAACCATCTGCATAATCCTGCGCTGAGCACTCGACAACTTCTGCAATTTTCTGGATTCAAAGAAATAACATTTTTAAGTAAGCTATCCATAAAGGAACCATATTGCAAAAGAAAGTCAATAGGAAAGCTTCTAAGAGCCAAATATTTCACTGACTCTGTTTAAAACAATGCAATCATATCCATGAAAATCTCAAGTCCTACCCCTTTTCATCAATGGGAACGTAATTGAGAAATAATTGGACTCCAAAGTGCAAATTTTAGCATATCCAAATTCCTCAAACTAAAACAAAGAGGGTATACTTCCAATCAACATTCTAGCCAAGCCTCAGGTGTATTACTTGTCAACTTTCTAGCCTTTCAGAACATATCTCAATAAAATTTGCCAATAAGTTATCACAATACCAACAGTGAGCTCCCCTAATAGAAAATAATTTCAGCAAAATGCCAGAACTTGCCCAAAAACCAAAAAGGGTTTGCAAAAAATGTCAACAACCTACCAGATTTGCGAATTTAGAGATATATATATATATATATATATATATATATATATATATAAGAAAAAAAGTGGATCATCAATGATCATAAAAGCATAAGGCCTAAAATGCATGTCTTGATCAAACAGATGCCATCACATGAATCATCAATGATCAAGCGTAATCAGCAAATAAATGAAACACTGGAATTCCAATAAAACGAAAAACTAATCAAAATCAAATTACAGAAAATTAAAGGAGACAAAAATACCTGATTGTTGGCTGGATTTACGGTAGGAACAATAGGGCCACTGGCCTTCCAGCAGCCATTGATATAGCATCCATCGTTACGAGGGCCGATACCTATTTCTGTCAAGAACTCGTACTCTTTCTTCTCAAAACTCATTTCTGCATTAACAGCTTTTCATCATTCCTCAGAATAACATTCCATTAATCACGCCCAAAAGCAACGAATTATAATAAACATTAAAAAGGTGACTACTAATTTACCCGCCATCAAGTGCTAAAAATAATGGAGAAAAAAAAAACGAAACACTCAAAACAAAAGAAAGAACTGAATACCTTTAAGATGGTATGGGGTTTTCCAGAGTAGAAATATTCACTGACACTGTTGTGCTAAATGAAATGTGCTCCTCTTTCTTTGCAGTAATTTATAGGAAAGAGTCAAAGAGACGTATTAGTTCTGTTTTTCTGAAAGTTTTGGGAATTTATTTGGTACTCCGTCCGGTCCTTAATATGTATAAATTATTTTAATTTATTCTAAGTTTCATATAATAAATATTTTTAATTAACAAAAAAATATTAAAACTATATTTTCATATTGTGTTTTCTTAATTGTCATGAATTTTTTAAAAATTTTTTTGTTAATTAAAAATATGTATTAGATTAAATCTAAGATAAATTAAAATGACTTATATTAAGCACCAGATAGAGTATTTTTAACTAGGAAAGCAGAAAAAAAAAACAATATAGTAATCAAGTTTTGCCATAATAATTCCAAGGAAAAAAAAATAAAATAAGAATAGAGTATATCCTGGTTACGATATCGGTCAATTTCTAGAGCTAATCACCAACCTTTGTGTTACATGATGATTCGGATGGATAGATAAATGCAAACGTCAACACTCCGTGGGTGGATATTACGTGTCCAATTTACATTTCATTTGTGTGTCCTAATTATTGAAAATGGTAATAATAATTATAGCCAGATAATATAAAGGATTTATTTTGTACTTGTAGTAGTCCTAAATTCGGCGGACGTTCGCCCCTTCCACGAGGACTTTTGAGACATTATTAATGAGTATTAGTATATCATACATGTGATCCATTATCACAAGCATTGTCATAAAATTTGCCACGGGCATTCCCAATGGTTGAATATATAATTTCATGATGAAAGTAAATTGTGTATGACTAGTCGTCGCTAGTAAAAAATACTGATGAAATAACAGATTTTATAAAGATATCGGTAATATTTCTTAATAGTTAAATTAATAATTTTATATAAATTATGTAAAGATGTTTATAAAATGAGCGCGTTGCTAGTAACAAACACTGATAAAATAACTGATTATATATAAATTCTTTTAGTCGTATCAGTGAATTGACATACAATATGTTCTTGTAACTGTTACCTAAGCGGGAAAATTCTCCTACATACTACTTCACTTTTTGTTAGCGAGTTAACATATGTTTCTTGTTTTTGTATTTTTGATTCCTTACTAAAAAAACAAATATTTGTCTTCTGAAAAGGGTTCATACACCTTAAGACAATGCATGCACAAAAAGTTACTGTCCAATTTCAAGTTGGTTTAAAAAGGCCGAGAGAGAGAGGGAGAGAAGAATATATTATGTCTGTATATGGGCTTCAACTCTGTTACCCAATCTAGATGGGCTATTATTATATCAAATTTGGAAACTGTGGCCCATATATATATAGAGGCCTGTAGTTTGCCGCTTAATGTAATGATCATCGATCTTGATGAACCCAACGAACAATGGTAAATGGGTAAATAGAACAGAAATAACCGAAACCGAAAAGAAGTAGAAATTGCAGAGAAGGAAGCCATCGACGACCAGAAGAAAATCGCCATTGAGAAGCTTCCCAGAAGGTCCCATCCAGCTCCACAAATTCCAAATTTTTGCATACCTGGATTGCCATAGTATCATTCATTTGTTCATATTTTCCCTTTGGCTGTTTCCTCCCTCATTTTTCCTATTAAATTTTCAATTCGGTTCTTTCAGTCAATCACTTCCGGGACCTCCCCATTTAGGTAAGAACCCTACTCATATATTCTTCGTCATTGAAAATTAACTGTTTCTTCCCTTCTGGGGTTTCGTTTTTCTTTTTTATTGAATGAAACCCTAGTAGAATTCATCTTACTTCCTGGGTTTTCTTGCTTTTTCCTTCCCTAATTCTTATGTAAATGTGCTAAAGATCGAAGAGCTGTTTATATGGTGATGGGGCAAACAAAAATTCGAGGTTTTTTAAATGGGTTTTGTGCCCTTGTCTTGGTTTTCTTCTTTTACAATCGGGAATATGTTATCAGGAATCCTATTCTTAGAAATTCTTCTTCTTTATTGGCTTATAGTAAATGGGACTATAGAGGTGGGATTAATGCATATTCGGGGAAAAATCGTCGGAAAATGGGGGAAATAGTAAATATTGGTTCTTCCTTAAGTGCCCATGTGAACGGTTCAGATGATGATCATGGCAATAATATTAGTGTATCTGTGCAGCACCCTGAACTTTGCTCTGGTTTATTTGAGCACCACGGTTTTAATACTAGTTGTGAGTTCTTGAGGGCTCATCCTGAATGCTCATCGGGCGGCTTCTTTGATTACATTAAGTTTTACTACTGTACTTGCCATGGAAGTTCGTTGGCTTTTCTAGTTTTGGGGGTTTGGCTTGTTGCATTGTTTTATCTTCTGGGTAACACGGCCGCGGATTACTTTTGTTGTTCTTTAGAGAAGCTTTCAAGCCTACTAAAGCTTTCCCCTTCAGTTGCTGGGGTTGCTCTGCTCCCGCTTGGAAATGGTGCTCCAGATGTGTTTGCAAGTATTGCGGCGTTTGTGGGGACTGGAGCTGGAGAAGTTGGGTTGAATAGTGTGCTAGGTGGTGCCGTCTTTGTCACATGTGTAGTAGCTGGTGCAGTGTCACTGTGTGTTGCTGATCAGTCATTTCAAGTTGATCGAAACTGTTTCATTCGGGATGTTTTGTTTTTCTTTATGGCTTTAGTATCTCTGTTTGTGATCTTGATGGTCGGCAAAGTTAGTGTTGGAGGCGCCATTGCTTTTCTGATGATATATGTGGTTTATGCCTTTGTTGTTGCTGCTAATGAAATCTTAAGAAAGCAGGTACAGCGGTTAAAGTTGGATTCTGTGACACCGCTGCTTCCTGTAAGAGGAAGTATATATTCTCAAGGAAGTCATGATGAGGAATCATTTTACAATCCATTGCTCGACTTTGAGACTGGAAGTGACGGAGTTCAGTCTCATAACTCATTACCGCAGTGGATGTGGGCTTCAAATGTGGCTATATATTCTAACCAGACACTCAAGGTGCTTGATGGTGACCGGCCATTGTGGGGTTGGAATGATGAGGCCATACAAGTTGATTACTCATCATTTTCTTACTCGAAATTATGCTCACTTCTGGAATATCCTTTGACTTTGCCTAGACGATTAACAATTCCTCAGGTTGAGGAGGGAATTTGGTCAAGGCCCTATGCCATTGCCAGTGCTTCCTTGGCTCCGATTCTCCTGGCATTTCTATGGAACGATGTTGATGATTTGAGTCGTCAAAGCAAGGTAATTACATACCTTTTGGGTGTTTCAGTTGGCTCCGTACTAGGTTTTCTTGCTTACAAGTATACAAATTCAGATCATCCACCTCGCAAGTTCTTGCTACCGTGGGTCTTAGGTGGATTTTTAATGAGTATAGTTTGGTTTTACATGATTGCAAATGAGCTTGTTGCTCTTTTGGTGGGATTTGGTGTTGTCTTAGGCGTGAACCCTTCAATACTCGGGCTAACTGTATTGGCATGGGGTAATTCAATGGGTGATTTGGTGTCAAATGTCGCGTTGGCCATTAATGGAGGGGATGGTGTGCAGATTGCCATGTCTGGATGTTATGCTGGCCCTATGTTTAACACATTAATTGGCCTAGGGTTCTCAATGTTGCTAGGAGCATGGTCAGAAAAACCGGGTGTGTTCACCCTTCCGCAGGACGCGAGTTTGTATTACACAATGGCATTCCTTATGTCTGGGCTCATATGGGCACTCATTGTGCTGCCCAAAAATGACATGCGCCCTGGTAGGACACTCGGGACCGGCCTGATTGCCATATATTCGATATTTCTACTGTTAAGGATTTCAAGTGCGACGGGGATCGTTTCCTTGGCAGGATTGAGATGATTTGCTGGTGTTGTCTGGCTACAGTTGCACGTTGACATGTAAAATGGTGAATATCATGTGGAGGTAATATAACAATAGTCAGCTGAGCTTTTGGCCTTGTAGATCAATGTTTGTATTTTAGCCTCTGTAGGATTGCTGATTCTGGATTTGTTTAGTGGTAGTTTTGGTCCATGAAAATCGTATGGATGTCCGTGTTGCCACTAGTGTATACATCTTGTGATATGTTTTTGGGTCTGAATAATTGTTATCACTAAGCAAATTCTCATTGGTGAATTGATGAAAGATCTGTGATTCAGCATCAGTAGTACTGCTGGAAAACTCTCTTGGCTGGGAAATTTGGTGAAGAGAGAGAGAGAGAGATCATCTTTGCAAATTTTCGGCTTTAAGAAAGTTCTAATGGAGAGAAGCTAAGTTGGACACACTGTCATTACAATGCAAAGCTGGAAAGAACAAAAAGAAGAGGGGAATTGGGAACCACTAATAATAAATGTAAGAATTGTACTCCTATAAATAAAACATGAAATGTTGAGAACAGATTATTATATACATGAAGATGAGATGAACTGTACATGTAAAGTGAGCTACATTCATGATTTTGCGGGATTAAAAAAATATCTCTTCAACAGGAATCACTTTCTTAAACTGAAAGATACTCAAGAGTTGTCAATTACTCTTCTTCACCTGCTCAGAGCCCATCTTTCAATTTAATTTTTGAAAACAATGGGTTATTTTTCCTGATTTATTTATTTATTTTCATATTACAGGGTGTTTACCGTCGCCATGAATTGTTCTATACCCATAGCGAGGGATAAATCCTCGACCTATGGTTAAGGGTGGATGAGTTTTTATCACTCCACCACAATCCTTTTTAATTATTTTTTCCTTTTTCTGGATCCTTTATTGGAGCAGATAACGTTAAAGAGGAAGATATGGAGAAGGGGCAGAAACAATACAAGGCCATTCTCGGTTCCCTCTGTTCACATCGTTCTTTCCTCTAATGTCTTCTTCTGAACTAAGCCCACTTCATTGTTGCACTCTTCTTAAAAGTACCAACAGTTGCCTGTTTTTAGCGACCGCATTATCTTTGCACAAATGACAACAGTAGTATGCACAACAAGGGGTCACTGTGGCAAACATAGGCACGGACTCCCTCTGCCTAATCCAACTCCTACGCAATCCAGAAAGAGCTCCTATAGAAGTTCAAGACACTGTTGCTGACATCCTTTACTATAAATCCATATATAGGGATTATAGCATATGTAAAGTTAGCCGAGAAAATTTGCTTCTTGTTCATAATAAGGCAACAGAATGTAATAGGAACCCTGTTTCTTCTTCTTCTTAATAATAAAATTCTTTTATTTGTTTGTAAAAAAAAAAAACAAAACCAACAACAACAACAGTAGTAGAAGTAGGCATCAAATGCGGGTCACACGCACACACGCAGTTACATAACCTGCACCTAATTTCAATTCAAGATATTGTACAAGTTTATCAAAACGCAAATTGGTGCTCTACAATTATGGAACATCAAAATCTTATTACTCCGTGGTCCTTAATATTAGGCAGTTTAATTTATTCTTGGTCTCAACTAATAAATATTTTTAATTAATAAAAAATCTTAAAAATATATTTTTAGATATTCGTTGTGTCCTCTTGATCGTTATGAAATATGTTTTATGTCAATTAAAAATACGTATTGATTGAAACTTAGGACAAATTTAAATGATTTACATTAAAAACTGAAAGGAATATCATTCATTTTTTATTTTTCTTCTGGTTATGGACTAGAATTAGAAACCTCTCCGGCCTCTACAAGGCCATCCCTAAACCTCATCTTCAATCATGAGACGCTCTGCGATATTTTTAGGCTCTGTATGTTTTCTTTTTCTCATGATTTTTACGAATAATATAATAATATCTGATTCATTCTAACATATTTTTTTACATTTTTAATACATATTTTTACATTCTCAATATAAAAAACACCTAAAAACACACACTAAAAGGAAACAAATATACCCTTATCCTCGGTGTGGGAATAGAGATAATCAATCTCAATAATTCAATATCAAGGAACCCAATAATAGAGTTTTACTCTTCTCTAGAACAAATAGTCCAAAACTATCTCTATAAAAAATCCCATCAACGTGGACTTTTACCCACCAATCATAATCAACACAAGATTCCCCCCTTTTCTCCTCCGAACTACTACTACTACATTGAAATAAACCTCAGATTTATCCACACCTCCCACCTGTCCTGAATCATGGCTTCTTCCATCCCACGCCGGTTATTCTTCCCCGTCTTCTCCTTCTTATGTTTGGTAGTATTATTGTTTTCCGTCCCGCCAACGTTAACCATCGCCTCCGAACAATCATCACCGGACGACCAGCCGGAGACTTACATCGTCCACGTATCTAAACCTAACAAGCCCCACGTTTTCACCACCCATCGCCACTGGTACTCCTCCATTATCCGATCCCTTTCCCACCTCTCCCCTCATCATCCCACCAAGCTTCTCTACACTTACGATCACGCGGCTAATGGGTTCTCCGCTCAGCTCAACGCCAAGCAAGCCGCCGAGCTCAGCCGTTTCCCCGGAATTCTCTCCGTTGTTCCTGACGGGATCCGTCAACTTCACACGACTCACACACCGGTTTTCCTGGGCTTGCAGGACTCTTCTGGCATATGGCCCAATTCTCATTACGCAGAGGACGTCATCGTGGGCGTTCTCGACACCGGAATCTGGCCGGAACGTCCTAGCTTCTCCGATGAAGGTCTCCCGGATGTCCCGTCAACCTGGAGAGGGAAATGCGTTACCTCCCCTGACTTTCCGGCGAGTTCCTGCAATAAGAAGATCATAGGAGCAAAATCCTATTATAAGGGCTACGAAGCTTATCTGGGATGTACATTAGAAGAAGCCGGAGAATCGAATTCTCCGAGGGATACGGAAGGCCATGGGACCCACACGGCTTCCACTGCTGCCGGATCGGTGGTGAGCAACGCCAGCTTCTACGAATACGCCAGGGGAGAAGCTAGAGGGATGGCGATTAAAGCCAGGATTGCGGCTTACAAGATCTGCTGGAGCGCCGGATGTTTCGATTCCGATATATTGGCGGCCATGGATGACGCCATCGATGACGGAGTACACGTCATCTCGCTGTCCGTGGGGGCCAACGGTTATGCCCCGCAGTATTATCACGATTCCATTGCGATTGGGGCGTTTGGAGCTGCTAAGAACGGGATTGTGGTCTCCTGTTCCGCCGGCAACTCCGGTCCCGGTCCGTACACCGCCGTGAACATCGCACCGTGGATCCTCACGGTTGGTGCTTCTACCGTTGACCGGGAATTCCCCGCGGATGTCGTCCTCGGCGACGGGAGAACATTCGGTGGTGTTTCTCTTTACTCCGGGAAACCGCTGGAAGATTCATTTTTGCCGGTTGTTTATGCTCAGGATTGTGGAAGCAAATATTGCTACGAAGGTCAACTTGACCCGGAAAAAGTCAAGGGCAAGATCGTCATTTGCGATCGCGGCGGCAATGCAAGGGTTGCTAAAGGAAGCGCGGTCAAATTGGCCGGCGGAGCTGGGATGATACTGGCCAACCTGGCGGATTCCGGCGAGGAGCTCATCGCCGATTCGCATCTCATCCCGGCTACAATGGTGGGTCAAACCTTCGGAGACAAGATTAAGAGCTACCTGAAATCCGATCCTTCTCCGACGGCAACAATTTTGTTCCGTGGAACGGTGATCGGGAAGTCACCGTCGGCGCCACGTGTGGCTTCGTTTTCCAGCAGAGGACCGAACCATTTAACGCCGGAGATTCTGAAACCGGACGTGATAGCTCCGGGTGTGAATATTCTAGCCGGGTGGACCGGGTTCGCGGCCCCAACGGATTTGGACATTGATCCAAGAAGAGTGGAGTTCAACATCATATCTGGGACTTCCATGTCGTGTCCACACGTGAGTGGGCTGGCGGCCTTGCTTCGTAAAGCCCATCCTGATTGGAGCCCAGCTGCAATCAAGTCCGCTTTGATGACGACTGCTTACAAGTTAGACAACAATGGCAAGAATATTACCGACCTTGCCACTGGTGAACAATCAACTCCATTTGTTCATGGTTCAGGCCATGTTGATCCTAACAAAGCTCTCAATCCGGGTTTAATCTACGATCTGGGGATCGTGGACTACGTGGCATTCCTCTGTGCAATTGGATACGACAGCAAGTTGATCCAAATCATCACGAGAGAACCCATAGATTGCCCATCATCCGGTTTAACTTCCCCCGGTGAGCTGAATTATCCGTCATTTTCAGTTGTTTTTGAAGCTGGTAAAAATGTGGTTAAGTACAGGAGGTATGTTCAAAACGTCGGAAGTGAAGCAGGATCGGTGTATGAGGTGAAAGTGAATGCTCCACCTTCTGTGGAAGTGAATGTGTCACCAAGTAAGCTGGTATTTAGTGAGATTAAGCAGACATTGTCTTATGAAGTAACATTCACCAGTGGTTCAAATGTACTGGAGAGGGTTGATGGAGGCATTAACTCTGCATTTGGATCGTTGGAATGGAGCGACGGAGTGCATGTCGTGCAAAGCCCGATCGCTGTTGTTTGGAGTTTGAGTTCGTCTGTTGCATCTATGTGATGTGGTTCTTGCAAGCAGGAGAATAAGAAGAAATCAATAGATATCGTTGTTGCATTTGGACAGGGGTCATGGGAGAAGGCTGTGCTAAAATATGTGCACAGATGAATCACGAATGAGTTTATCGTAAAAGCACCCTCTATTTATATCTCATGCTCATACAACTGACAGAAAGATAGAGGGTATGCAAAAGACCTGCTTCGGAATGCGGTGCTAAATGTTAACCCTATGAATTGTTTTTGAATGTTGGGAAGATCAATTTCCATTTCAATGATTATTTGATGTATTTTGATGTAGCAGGATATGGAATTGCAGATGACGTTTTGGTGCCTATTTCCTTCCTGATTTCTCTTGCCTGTTATATCGGCCTTACTCTTTATTGACACTCTTCTCTGTCTCAAAGATAGAAGATGAAAATGGTTTAGCCCTAGATTAGTATCATGTAGAAGGGGAATTGAGAGCCTTTTCCATCTTCGAGGCACCAAAATAAGACTTGAGAATATGGCAAAACAGTTTGATGACCATAGTAGTAGGCACGTGACAACAGGCTTGGCGAAGGTCTAAAACAACAAAATAATGTGGTATTCTCTCAAACAAAAGAATGTAATGAGAATATTTCCAAATCAGTGAAATGACAATATTAGGCAATAATCAAACGCAATTCCACTAGAAAAGATGCAAGGCACAAATGAGAAGTAAGCAATAGCCAATTGAAACAAAATGGCGGCTCACAAGTTATGGAATGGAAGAATGGTACAAACTCAAAAGAGGAAATTCATCATATAGGAATTAGTGACAATTAATAGAGAAACGGATGCTGTGTTCATCAAAAGTCTGCCCACAGAGGATATAATACATCACAAAGCCTCTTGAATTCAGCAGATAAGAGAACAGAAAGGATGTTTTCTCTTGATAATTCCCAGTGCACGTTCTAGTGACCATACTTCTGAAACTCCCACTCGCTGTTGTCTGAGAAATAACACAAAGATTACTTAGAAAATCTCACAGGCGGAATTGAGGCACCAAAAAGCTAACAGAAGGGAATAGAGAAGAATTAAAGCAATACCTAATGGGCACACTTGACGGGTTTTTAGCCATCGGCTGATGCAGTGAAAGTGGAAAGCATGATTGCAGACACCTATCAACAAGGTCCAAAGTCATATAAGTACTGGTGTACATCATTGAAAATAAGGATCAACCTAACAAAGAACATATGTATCCATCTAACCTGGATTTTCAAAAAAGATTAACCACCCCACCCCACACAAACAAAAGAAAACCTCAATTATCAATGCAGAACTAAGGACAAAAGTCGATGAGCCTCAAAACTGATTTGAAACACTAGTGCAGCTTTTCTCTCATCTCAAACTTAGAATACCCATGCTAGAGACAAGGCATCTTGACACATTAGAGGGGAAAGACCACCAATGTGCACGGAAAAAGCTCCAATAAGAGGAAAGTTTTTTTTTTTTTTGAAGGTACCTTTATTGATTAATTACGTAAGATACCTATATTATTACATCGCATCGCATTCTATTATAGGCTAAGTTATGCATTTCTACAACATCGCCTCTACTCACTTTAATAAGAGGAAAGTTATGTACAAGGTGAGCAAATAAAAACTAAAAAGAATGATGAAAGCCAAGAAAGAAGAATATACACAGTTCACTTTTTGGACATCATATAACATAGAGACCAAAAAAAAACTGGAGGGTAACAACACAACTTTTGATCTGAAATCACAGGAGAAAATGATTTCAAACGTAACTTTCCGAACAGACGCACAACAGCCTATTAATCACGAATCAGAAAGTTATCACAGAATTCACCAGCACACACTAAGGGTGGCCGGGGGGGGAGAGAAAAGAAAAAAAAAAAAAAGCAACAACATCTCCACATAGCCTATGATTTTTCACTGCCTAAGTTCGTTCTTGTATTTCAAAAGAGGATTGCATCAAAGTGATAACATATTTAGATCGACAACCTTTTCAATCATTCTACATTAAAGATGAATAACAGGACAAACATAACATTCAATTTTATGCTACAAAAACACAGAAGAAAACATGCTCAGAAGTACTAACTAACAACACATTCGACAAAAAATCAAATCAAAATCAATGCGTCAAACAATTGCAGTCGATTTCAAGTGATTTCATAGAAGGTGTTATGGGGTTTAAATACTGACCCCAAGCCACAGTACACTCCTCGCTTGTGGCACTAGCTTGATTAGCCTGGCACTCAATACAGAGATCCATGATATGGTTCCTGCAAATTGCACAATTGTCCACAACTATATCTGCATATGCAAAAAAACACAATCCAAATCAAAATTTCATATTATAAATTGAAAAATTCATAAACCCTAAGGAACAAACCAATAGAAACCAACTCCAAATTAAACGGAAGTAAATGAACAAACTGGAATCGAACAGAGATAGGTGACCGACCCCAAGCCCACAGAGCAACGGCGTTCCACTTCTTGATCTCGAAGCGCTTTCCCTTTTTCGAAGAGGAAGCAGCCGATGAAGACGAGGCAATAGGTGCCGGGCCGGTTGATGAAGGCCCTTCTCCGGCGGTAGGCATATTCGTGTCGACGTCCATTGCCGATTTGCCGGCGAGATTTAAACAAGGAGGAAGTGTTCGCTCGCTTCTCCCTGCGAATTTAGATTTGTAGGGTTTTTGATCAGTCGAATTTGGGGGTCGAATCGAACGTCAAAGACCTGGACAACAGAAACAGGGTAAAGGATCGGGTATATATATATTTAAGTCGTAAAACCCGGTTCTGAATTTCTATGTGACTATTTTGATCCTTGATTAAAATATTAAATTATTACAAGTTTCTCTAAATTTACACTGATAATAAAAAAAAAATTTAATTCAAAAGTTAGCTCAAATAATTAACATGCACATCTCAACAAAATGAATTAGATGTTAGACACGTCCGATGGACGGGGAGAACATGTACATATAGACATTACAACACAAGCAAAGTAATAAAAATATCACTATTTCTATGAATTTTTTACTTTTATAAAATGTTAATTATAAATTATATAATTATTTCATTGAAAAATATAAAACACAAACATCAACAACACTTTACAAAATGGTAATAATTTATTTAATGCAAAGAGAATTATTAAAAAAATCTAAAAGAAGGGAATATAAAAAAGAAAAAATAATTAACTTTGAATTGAATGATTATATGTCCTGCAATACTTCTCTGTGAACGAAATTCATAGTCTTAAATTGACGTTACCACATTCATCGCATATTAGGTTTTTGATTCCCTGTCTCGAAATGACTATTGATAAGGCGACATATAATTGGTCATGGTTAAAAACTGGACGTGGCAAATAAAATGATTTGTTAATTTAAAGGTGTTAATTGGACAGCCAAATAAACTTAAATGAAAATTATAAAATAGAGATTTAATGGATGAATATTTCTACCAAATACAATATAAATCATAATATAGAGAAAATAAAATTATTCATTATTAGATGAATTTTCTATGAAAAACAAAAATGCTAGTTATAAATGTATAGTAGCTTTTTTATAATGGCTTCATTCATAAAGAAAATATAAAATAGATATACAAAAAGATGTGTGATATGGATATTTTCGGCATAATGTGGAATGTTGAGAAAAGAAAAAAAAAGCATTCAACTTCGAATTGAATAATTATATATCTTGCAATAATTTAAATCAAAATCATTAAACTTATTTTTAATGACATTCTATGGTAGAATCATTTTTTTCATTGATTCTAAGGTAGGATCATTTTTTTTACCACATTAATAATATCACTAAAGTTATTTGGATATTTAAATTTGATCTCTCTCAACTTGTTTTTAATAATATCCCACAATTACTTTATAGTGGGTATCTATTTTTTTTTTCTTAATGATATTGCAAATTTACCTTACGCATTTTTAAATCTAAAAAATTAAGAAAATGCCACATAGGATTAAATCCTATGTGGCATGTGCTCCATGCCTTTAGATTTCTCTCTCTGGTTTTTGTCTTAGTATAGTCTATAGATAAGTTATGCTACCACTTGTAACATGATATAATAATTTTAAAAATGTGGTTATATAATCAAAATTTTATATGGACTCGAGACCGACATGATATGTAATTCCTAAGATAATCTAAATTAATCTTTGAGTTATTTAATAAACGTAAATCTACATCCGACACTTGTGAATACTGATTAATACTGTTGACCTGTAGTTGAAAGTGTAATATAATTCACTGAAAAATGAAAATCGCCTTATATTAACATCACCAATTTTCTTGTCAATCCGCAACTTCATTCTTCCATTGTTGGATCAGGTAATTTAACCTATATATGTACAGCGCTCTCTTCCATATATATTCAATTTTTTTCATTGATTATTTTTAATTTTGGAATAATATAGCAGTAAATCGGCATATATATGGCGACAGCGAGATCTTGTGTTGCGATTAGAGTTGTTTATTTGGCATGGCTTGTAGTACTGATGGGAAGCCAATTCATGGTCGACTTAGATGCAAAAGCAACATCGATTGAAGAACTATGCAAACATACACAAGAGAATTATCAATATTGTATGGATTGCTTACAACAAAAGCAGGCCCTCAATCTCAAACGAAATGACGATATAATAAAAGACGTCGACCCTCAAAAAATCGGCATCAAATTGATATCTTGCTGCCAAAGTTCGACGTCGGTCCTTTACAAATCCGTGGAGGAAATACATAAAAACACAAGTGAGGGTATAGTGAAATCGGTCACGACGTATTGTATCACAACACTCGAATCCTCAAGAAACTATCTGAAGGAGGCAATGAAGCTGTGGTCAAATTCAAGTAAAGATGAGACGCAGGTTTATATGCAATGGGCTGCGACCCAGTCTAATGCTTGTATTTGGAAACTCCCAAATATTCCGTCCAAACAATTGAATGATGAAGGTGACCGTGTTACGGCGCTTCTGGCTGTTGCTTGGCGTCTCATTTTCCAATATCTTTAGTTGATTAATTCTAGTTTAAATCAACGCATGCAATTTAGCCATCCGATGTATCTCCGTCAAGATTCAAGAAATTAATTAGGCAGAAAACAAAAATAATACTTCTTTCGTTCCGAAATTATTGTCTCGTTTGAAATTTCACTTTCAGTTATATTGATTTGAGAGTTTTGAAAAAAATTCATACTCATAACCGTTACTTATTAATTCTATATGATTATAGTTTGTTTACTTACTTTTATATAATTCTATACGATAGTTACTTTGTTGTAGAACTTAACTCCGTAACCAAATAAAGTTCATACTCATAAACGTTACTTATTAACAGTTATCCTACGATCCAAACAATAAAAACCTTCATCAACCCATTTTTTAAGAGTCGAAGTCGTTTGCTGTTTCGTTTCGTATTATTCTCGTGGATGTTTTAGGTTTAGGTAGCCAGTTTTACATGCACGGAGTAAAATAATACTCCCTCCGTCCCATAATTATTGTCCGGTTTGAATTTTCATTTCTAGTTTAAATTATACTAAAAGTAAAATCTTAAATTGAACCATAATTTTGGAAAGAGAGAGTAATAAAGTTTAAAATGGTGGTGATGATCGACGTGCAGTTAAATATATAGAATTATGACTGCTAGATAGAATTGGCCAACGGCCATTGGTTAGAAGTGATCAAGTATTTCTTTCGTGAGTACAATTCAATTTACAGAAGTATAGTAGTTTGTTTCTCTTAGTGGCAGCTGGATTAATTAGGAAGTTTTCAGTAATTGTTCGACCCACCTCCTGATCAAAGTCAAATTTTGTTGATTAAACACAACATAATTAGTGTTTCTCACAATGGTGTTGAAAGTTTCATCGTATAAAAAGCGTTACTCTCCCCGGTCGTTATTTTAAGGTATTTTGATTTGTTTTAGGATTGTCCTAAATTCACCTAAGATATTTTTTTAATTGAAATAAAAATCTTAAAAATATTTCTTAATAATTATGAGAACATAACGAATGTGAAAATATATTTTTAAAGTTTTTTTCTCAATTAAAAACGCACCTAAGGTGATACTTAAAACAAAATTGAAATGCCTTATAATAAGGACCGGAGGGAGTACAACTTACAAACCCATTATTCCGAGAAAATAAATTGGTGGAGATGAAATATCTAACGATGGTCATGATTATCTAAATCTGTGAATTATTTAATGCACTCAAACTCAAAGTACTAATCTAACACGTGTGTAACATTAAGATGTAACCATTAATAGTGTTTGACTAACACTTGAATGTGGTTCACAAATATATTGGCATCCCCAGTTTTTGCTGATCTGCACATTTTCTTCGTCCAATTCCGTGTTCACCAATATGGCTAGGAGTCTTCCTGATAGAGCTGTTTACCTGAGCTGGATTTTACTTCTGGGAATCAACCTAATGGTTGGAGATGCAAATGCTTCTTCACCAGTCGAAGAAATTTGCAAAAAGACCGGACACAATTACGACTACTGTATGGATTGCTTACAGAAAAAGACCTCAAAAAGTAACAATAATGATCAAACCGATCTCCCAAAAATAGGCGGCCAGTTGTTATCTTGTTGCAAAGAATCGACGTTGATTCTTCTGAAATCTTGTGAGGACTGGTACCATAACTCAACCGATGGTATCATAAGAGGATGTACGGGGTATTGTATACCAAAGCTTTATTCAGCCAAGGACTTTTTTATCCACGCAATCAAGGAGTGGTCAAATTTACGTAAAAATGAGACAGTGGAGAATATTGATTTTGCTGATCAAGACTTTTCGAATTGTAGTTGGCAACTCGGGTATCTTCCATCAAGAGAATTAACTGAGGAAAGATATCGGGTTAGGGCACGTATGGAAATTGCTAGGCAGATCATATTGTCCACTCCTGTGTAATAACCCAAACACAATAACTCCAATGTGGTAGCTAGCTATTTTATCAACGAATTAACAAGATACCTGTTTCATATATATATATGGTTTTCAGCACAATAGGACACCAAGATTTTACGAGTCGATTTTCAATTCAACCCAAATTTTTAATACTTTTTTTCCCCTATTTAAATGAGATCTAACCAAGTTTGTAACTGTGACGTACGTGTTTGGTCGGTTGCATGGTAGATCGTAAATTATTTTTATAATTCTATGTATAATTTTTAACTTTCAAAAATTACTTTCGATCTCTAGGTAAATTCTTCTTCTTCAGGGTCACCGCTCAAATTAATTTGTTAAACTTGATTGATAATCTGTTTGTTTCTTTACGTCAATACTACATTGTATAGCACAAGATTTGTACAAATGCATGACTTTCACGTGCTGTATATTTGAAAAAATTGTAAAAACTTATGGGATCCATACATTTTATGAAAGTATGCGTGTACAGTATAGAGAGGCATTCGGAGAGAAATGAAAATAAAAGGAGCTCGCAATGTTAGTCGAAAGAATGCGCATGGAACATGTGACAGCGCAATGTGAAAGAGTTTAGGATCAATCTATATAATTCCTCCAAGAAGATTGAACATTGATCAGTACTCAAGTGGTAAGGAACAGGTGTTTTAACATGACTTCTGTAATTAACTGTGCTTCCCTTTTATTAATTATATAATTCATTAATTCAACTTATACATACTATGTAATATTCTCTCATGTCCTTAATATAAGACATTTTGATTTATCCTAAATTTCACATAATACGCATTTTTAA